ATATATATATATATATATATATATAATGTTTGCTCACGATTTCCTAATCAGCTCGGCAACACCGTGGCACAACACAACGAGTATCTTCTGAAGAACTGCCGAACGAAAGGTCCCCCGTTGCACTACATTCTTCTCTTCCCCACGCAGAACAAGGCCGCCCTCGCGCAGTAGCAGCAGTACTTCAGCGATGTTGTGGATTGGGATACGCGAACTGCCCAAAATTTCATACGCCTGCACAGTCCAGTCCAGTAAGCATCATTCGCCATGCCCCCTCCCCACTGTACAGGCGTGCCCATAATTGTGTATATGTGCTCATGCATATCCAATATACAATAGGTGAAGAACAAACGAACCAATGAAAACTGCGTCTAAATGCAAGCATATGCATGCACACAAGCACTCCGTTTCCCTACAAGCAAAAGTCAACGGCAGGCGCAGTCATTCATGGATGCAGTGAAAGGCATGAACATCTGGACCTGTGTGGGGCATTTACAGTACAATACTGCCGCCCTTTCACTTCCCCCTGTTGCGTAGGGATCGAGTAGGGTAACGCACTGTCTTGTACGCTCTCGCCCTGAAGGCGCTGCCGCGTTTTCGCGTTAAAACGCTTTCGTCCCCCGCATTGAAGAGCGGTGATGTTGCTGGGCTGTCTAGACATTGCTGTTGAGCCTCTTCCTGTCGTTGTTCCAGGTGCCGCTGTCTCCACAGCATGCTAAGACTCTGCAGTATTTCTTGGTTTCTGAAAACCCGTAGACTCAGCGCATGCATACACAGTTTTTACAGTTACCCTCGGTGCCTGTTCAGCTCCACCAAAGCACTGTGTGTGCCATCCATACGCCTCCCTAAATGTAAGCAGGGATGGCAGGGTGCCCTGCTGCAGGCCTGCTTTTCTGCATGTTCGGCTCGTTCATCTATTGAGAATTTTGGGGCTCACTTTGCCGTCGGAGATGCTCTGCAAAAAAATAGATGCAAACAAGCCCTCGAGCAAACAAATCAGATATCACGAAATACAAAATAGCGATGGCCCTTTTCCCTGCGGAATGGCTGGAAGGATGACGTTGCTCGTCGTGCGACAGTAGGTAACCGCTACGAACTTACGTTTCTTTCGCGAACTGCAGAAATTTGCTGTCGAGCTTGCTCATCGCCTCTTGAAATGCTTCCATATTTCGAGGGAACTGTTGGGCCTCCGCTGGGGGAAGATACCCGTCCTGCGCATTGTAAAGGCGTCTTGAAGATGAAATGGGGCGAAAACAGGGAGTCAAAGAAGCACCGAAGCCGCTGCGCTCTCCTGGGGGGAGCAGTAGGCTTCCCGGGCTGCTCCCGGGGCGCCTGGGGCCCGTTGGTATATATCTGGGGCTAGAAAATCCGCGAAAGGCAGCGACAGTATCATCGCGAGCCCAATGGCCGCTGTGCATGCAGCTGACAGGCAGATCGGGGCCATTAACCCCTGACCAACGTCCCCAGTGGAGCTCTTCTGCGTACTCTCCCATCGGAGCCGCAGCTGCCGCCGTTGCATGCAGTGCCGCTAGCCGAACCTTCCAGCCAGCCGCAAGGTGGAAGAGGTTCCTAGGAATCCAAAAGCGCATCGGAGGCCCACGGCGTCGCACTCCAGCGCCCCACAAAGAGGAAGGCAGGAGGGTCTCCCCCGTTCCCTCATAGGGGTTAACCGAGGGGACCCTTCTGGTATTGACGAAGGCGCCAACGCGAGGAAGCGCATCGTTGCAAGAAAGTACGCACCGTAGGGGTGTAACTGAGAGAGAAATGGGGGAGACAAAAGCACTCCAGAGGAAAAACACAATAAAGTGAACTTTCCAAAGGCCCGTTACAGCCGCCATGACTCAAGACCAAACATCGTCCCGTAGCGGAAACCTGCAGGCGTCCAAAATATAAACTGTACACACTAGGCAGCAGACCCTTCCGTAGGAGTCTAGCCTAGACCTACGGCAGGCCTTAGCGAGCACAGCCGGGTGACAGGAGCACAGTTCCGGCGCCTGAGGAGATCCTCTACTGAAGGGGGAATCAAACAGCATCACTCATATTTCGTAGAGGGTAGTCAGCATTTCCCTTGTTTTAGGGTTGGGGTCTTGAGGTCTTGCTGGCCAGTGAGTATTCCCGTAGGTGACCCCATGCTCCCCAACTTGCAAGGCCGTTGCAGTGGTTTATAATTATAATAATGTGAACATCAGATAATTCTAAACAGGTACAAGTAAGGCTCATGCATGAAAAACTCCAGAGAACCCAGAGAAGGAAACCTGAATTCCCTGCAAGTTGGGTATCCTATCGAGGCAGGGTTACAAGGCGCTGCTCTGAGACAGCCTCAGCTACTGGTATTATCTTTCCATGTCTTTTGAAGCATACGTCCCTCTCAAGTTTATTAATCCAATGAAAGGCACTTTTGAGGAAATTCCGCTGCCTGCATGCATGCATCACTGTGCGAGTGTGCATGCTGCAGGGACCGACCCTCTGTAGGGTAGGTGGAGCTGTCCTTACATGTCCTTCTTCGATTTCCCCCAATCCACCACCTCAACTGCTCTCTCTAAAGAAGGACTAATCTCATGTGTGCCCCGAAAGATTGTTTATGGGAAAGGTGACCTTGAGAAAATCGCCTTCACCTCTTTGGTCATGGGGATTTAGGGCTTGGTGTGTTGGTGTTGGGGCCCCCTTTTGCGCTGAGGCCTTGAGTGCTGCTCGTTCCCACGGGCGCGTGGAGGCACTTTCCCCACAAGTACTATCATGGGGAAGTATGCCCTACTGTTTCCTCGGCTCGTGAACAATGCACAGTTGCTGATAACACAGACAGCTAAAGTCTGTCCTAAGCAACTGCTTGATGCAGCTCTGCTGGCGCCCCCACTCCTTCCTCGGGATGTTGCCTCTCCACCTACATCGCAGGGGACACCAGAATCTCCGATCCTTGCCTCTTTGGCAGACTCGTGGAGATCTACAGCAGTGCTTAGGAACCCCCAGATAGGCCTGCCTAATTCGCCTAAAGATCAGGCAAAAATCGTCTCTGACCTTCAACGCTCAAAGGCACAACGCACTTGGGCGATACTGGAAATGCGTGCAGTGGCAGCATTGCCCAGCTTGAGGTGGGCCTGTAGGTTCGTAACTCCATGTACAGCACTGCCGAGGATGCACGTGCAGTGCTTTGTATTCAGAGTGTCATACCCGGTCTAGGGACAAGGTTTGCACAGTGTTGTGCTGCTTACTGTCTTGGTTTGCTGCTTGCAGTCCTGCTGGGATCCTCCAGTTTCTCTTTTTAGCCCAGAGGGGGAACTGCCGCCCACAACATTTCCTTGCCGAGGTCGGCCTTGCGCGCTCTGTGCTGCCAGGAGTCCTTATTGCGATGGCCTCCGTACACACCAGAGAGTACACAATAGTGGTACACATTTTAGTTCAGCCGGGGTGCTCCTAAGACTGCAGCCTTGCAGGAGTCAGGCTGTGATGTGGGGTGTTCTGTGCTGGTTGGGTGGGCGATGGCCTGTGCGAATCTGTACTGCTTCCGAAGCATGTCCTCTTTTGTGCGTTGTTGTGATGCCCAGCTACGACGCTTTATGCTTGAGGGCGAGCCAGCAGCTGCTCCAGTGGATACCTTCTGGTTGTTGTGGACTGCTAACGACCTGGCACTCTTCTGCAAATTGCTAGCAGAGTCAGTTACCCAGTGCGTTACTCCAGGGACTGTTCCGTCATTTGTGTTTGACCTACTGGCATGGAGTGGTCTCCTGTCCTTTTTGGTACCTCTCCATACATCGATCTCATTCCATATGCCCCTCTCCCTTGCTTTTATTTGTCGGTGTGTGAGTGTTTGTGTGTGAGTGTGGGTGTGTATAGGTGTATGTATGTATGTATGTATGTATGTATGTATGTATGTGTGTGTGTGTGTGTGTGTGTGTGTGTGTGTGTTCCCCTCTGCCTGCCCGTCTGTCCGCGGTTTTTTCTTTTCGACAACCTTGACAGCCACCGAGCGGACGAAGCAGCTCTTGTTGAAAAATTGCTTTCACAGGTTGCCGCAAATCTGTCCTACTTTAGCCCCGAGGACGCCGCTCTTGTCTTGTGGGCCGCAGCTGTGGAGTCATCGTCTTGCCTAAGAGAAGCGCTGCTACTGCAGCGACAAGCCGCAACTGGGGAGGCTGCACGGCGAATAGAGGGCCCTAAAGCTTGTCAAGCGTCCTCCACGTCTTCGACTCCCGGAGCGCCTGCATTTGAAACAGGAGATAGCCGGCCGTGCAAACCAGGCATTCCACTGTTTGTGTTGCTGCTGCAGCGACTGGCTTCACAGGTAGAGCTTGTTTGGCACTAGGAGAAGGCAAGAAAGGCGAAGTATGCGGGGTCCTAAAGCCGCCATGCGCCTGTTTGTATCTTCTGCTTGCTTTACAGCTGCAGGAAGCCGATTTGAATGATTGCATGAGGGCATTCTTCGCGGCCTCGCGGATATGTGCTGGCCCTGTGAGCCATAAAAGAAATCTACACTTGTGTTTCAATTCTTGTTCGTTGCGTGCTGCGCTTATTGATGCACATATCCAGTCTCTAGTGGCCGGTGCAGAGTCTCTTCGGGCTTGCCCAGGTGATTCCGATTCTTGTCCTTTCCTGGTCTGTCCCCTCAGCTGTCTCAAGGCGTCTCTGCCCTGTCACCGCCACTACACAGCGGATCAGCAGCCCCGCCGCTCGGCGCCATCTCCGCTGCTCTAGAACCGCTCCGTCTTTTGACACAGCACCTGAGGTGCAACCTCTCAACAGCTTCGGCCAGCGCAAAGCTACGGTATGTGATTACTTATTGTAATTGTGCAGTTTTACAGCGTCGGGACAGTATCCCACTAGTAGCACTATCATTGGCATGCCTGCCATTGATGGTACCAGCAATGGCAGTACATTCGCTATATCTGTAATGGATTGTTACCCGCAGTGTGAAATACTGTACCCATCACCCTTCAGTTTACTCTGTTTCTGTAGGCTGTCCCATCTAGTATTGTGCTAGATCCCGGTGAACGTTAGTCTCTTAGGCCTATCACGGAGAGACCTCGGTTTCGTGATAGCAGCCGGAAAGCGCATATCGTTTCATATCCCTACTGACAAACGTGTGTGGAATGTGGTGAGCGCAGCATTATTTCGAGTAGTATTCACCTGTTGCACTTCTTGAGTCAGCGGAAGGGCCCGCGTGGGGTCTCTCTGCAAGAGGCTGTCGCTACTGCTGTTAACGCTGCCGCTGGAGTAGGCCTCTCCCCAACAACAAGCCTTGAGCTTTTGCCGAACGGCAGCGCTGAAAGCGGCCCAAAGCCGAGTACAGGCAAACGCGTGGGCAACCCAATATGTGCCAAACAAGCTAAGAAAGTTGCGGTTCTCAAGACCCCCCTATTCGCCCTCAGTTCAACGGCACGACGATGCCGCAGGGCGGTCAACTCTGACCCATACCCAGCAGGAGTGTATCAAGCCGCTGCTGCAGCCCAATTAGAAGAGGCTTTGCTGGAGACGCTCGCAGCCACTATCTCAAGTCTGTGCTCGTAAGCATGGGTATATCGGGGCATTCTCTTACGGTGTTGTACATGTGCTTAGGTAAACGAAGCGCAACACGATATCGCAAGCTATATCTGTGCACTACAATGACAGCCTGCATATTATAGGTCCAGTGCATTCATGTCAAATGCAAGTCTACTGACACCGGCAGTCGGGAAGGTTGACTGCGCGTGCAGGTCTCCTGGAGACATGAAGGCTACTGAAGGCATGGTTCTTTTAGAGCTCGTTTGGCACCTCCGCATGCACTACAGCTTTCCTGTCACCTTAGCCTGCCTGGAGGGTATGCAGTTACTCCCCCTTCATCCCTCAGCTTTTTCAGCCACAGGTGTGAACGGGAAAATGTGCTTGTCTGTTTGTGTCTATGAAAACTTACAATTTGTACGTCTGTTCTTGCATGAAAGTACGGACTATTTAAATTCATGTATGCATATTGGGTGTTAATATCTACTGCTGTGTCAATGAGCAGCATGTACTGTCACCTGCCAGATACACTTATATCAGATGCAGTCGCCGAGTTTGTGGCATGCTTCAGGAGTCTACTTCTATCTCCTGGCAAATATTCATCAGTTGTCCGCCAGTGATGTGGTGGCATTGACGGCCTCTTTCGAGCTGTGTCACTCCACGGACAGTGAAGAAACGAATTGCGGTTTCGAAGGGCAACTTCCAGGCGACGTAGCACAGAAGCCCCACATGCAGCGGCATTTAAAGCAACTGGTGAAGGCCCAACATACCCAGTGACAACCCAAGAATTGCAGACGGGCTTTGAATCCCAAACAAACACTAGTGGTTTCCCAGCTACGATTATGCAACTGCAGAGAGAACAACAGCCTGTTCATGTTGCTCCTACGGTCTCGCGTGCCAGTAGGAGCAATGGCAGACACTCAGCCGGTTCCTCTTGCTTATTCTGCGTTTCGTGTGTATCTGGAGGCTGATTTGTGCGTAGGGTGTGTGTTGGAGTGCAGGCGAACTTACTACGCCGGCGCATTCACGCCAAGGCGCAAGACAGGACCTTCCCCCTAAACGATCAGGTCAGAAGAACCTCTGTATGTAGGATAATGTACGGGCACGCATTTTCGGGTGTTCCTACGTGCACATTGGCTGCAGAATCGTTTTTTGTTTCTGTAGACAGGCTCCCTCCCGTTGCAGTCCAGGGTTTAGAGCGATTCGAGTTTGAGGCGTATAGGGCCGCTGACCCCACAACCTTGTTCACCGTCGTTTTCTATTGCATGGACATCTGTGGCTTCCTCTCAGGAGAGGTTTGTTATACAGTGTCTCCTCGAGTTCTCTCGTGTCCGGCAAGCGACCCCGCAGAATGCTACATACGCCGCCGGCATTTCCATCCAGGGAGGGCGCTGGGTCCCTACTCTGCCCGCCGGCAACCAAGCCGGTCCTTGAGTTCCTATACAGAGGGATAGTTTAATAAAGGTAGTGCAGCCCGGATTGCTGCGAGAGTACCAAGAACTAAAAGTGTAATGCAGAGTCCTGCATCTTATCCGAGAACGCAGTGGAACCAAAATACGCATGCTGAGAGTTCACCAAATACAACTGGCCAGCCTCTCGTGTCTCCAGGTGTCCTGAACACAGCGGCCGGGGCGCCTTACGCTGCGGAAGAGGAGTTAGCCAGCGAAGAGTTGCAACACACCTTGCCAGAGCTCAGGGTGCAATACAGCTCCACAAGCAAGCAAAACACAAGCCTTCGTGCTAGGGCGTATGAACAGAGCAGACGAGTGTGAGTGAACACTGTAGAAAATTTTAGAAGACTCTTGCTTGCGCTTTTTTTGTGTACTAGTGCCGGGTATGGGTTCATGTGCCCATTGCAACCGGACTTGCTCAACGTCGTACAACCTATGTTACCATAAATATTTTTGTTGCTGCATGTAGTTGCGGTGTTCCGACAGTCACGTCTTTGTTGTCTCCCTCTCATCAGGACTGCTTAGGGAATTGTAGGATGCACTTATGATAGCAGTGCTAAAACCGTAGATTCCTGCTTTGACGATGTTGCTGGCTTTACAGCTGTAGGTCTTTTGGAATTGATTGCGTTGGGGATACCCAAGCAGACGCCACTGTCTGTGCTCTACCTGAGATGATAATGAAGTATCACTAATTACGAATTGGCGACTCGGATGACCCCGTCCCAACACACGACAAAGAATCGATACTCATATATCTCCTGGCACAGTCGAGGCAGTCTATGTTAGCTGCATTCCAAGAAAATAAGGTACTAATTTGGGGTCCGAATAGAACATAGTTCAATCTTAAATATGCAAAGGGACAGCTAATGACAGCCCCACGTACTACGTCTGCGTTCCAATGCTGCGGCGGGTCCAGAACAGACAGTCCCGGACCAGACCGCTGGCCTGCAGGGGAGGAGAGCAGTATTTTCCCCTTATTCCTTTCTTTTGTCCCCAAAACTGACTTTCTACACTGTGTGTGGAGCCTTTTGCTTAAGGTGTGGAAGCGGTGGTATAACTGGGGTTATGGGGCTTGGGGTTCCTCTCCGCACCGGTGGCCCTTGCACGGCAGCGACCCACGAGCAGCACGGGTGACCGCGATGACGGCATCGCAGCTCGGGAAAGGCTGTGACGAAAGGGCTTCTTCGATTACACTTTATTAATTTTCTCTCGGGATTGAGAGGAAGGAGAAGGTTGATTACTATGGCTGCGGTTGGTTGCGCTTCAATGCGGGAAGGGTGGGTGGGGCAATCGTTCTGTCTTTAAGAGCTCTGGATAACCTGGCTTGTCTCTTGACTTGCTGGGCCTCTTAAGTCATCCATATGTGCTCTTCTGCACAAAACAGTAGAAACGGCTTGCTTTCGAATACGTTTTTGGTCATTCCCTCGCGGTCTTTCCGTGCCTTTGAGGGTGATGCTCCACCCGGTTCTCAAGGGCTCACCAGGAAGGTAGACAAAGGCAAAAGGCGACGAGTGGCAAGGACAGCGTGTTTGCTTACCAGTGTTCTGCCTAGTAGGCATCATTGTGTCTGCACCGTACTGAGATCTCGGCCTCATCAATTTTCAAGTGTCTACGCGTCGTAAGCGGCGCGGCAGCAACACCACTCGTCTACTGCGCCCGAGTGAAACTACCCAGAGCTTGACAGTGTTTTATTCTAGAGGGAGACTAGCAATCTCTAGACTTCCGGGATCATATTTTGGCGGGAGCCCGTAATGGAGCGGCATCAACAGCAACCCTCTGCAGAAGCCTCTTTTCCTCCCAGGCGCCCTGATGGGTCCGTGGGCCCGCCGCTTTCAAGAACCTCTGGAAGGTCAAGGGGCTTCATAAGAAGCTTGAAAGAACAGTGGCAGATACCTGGTATGGCTGAAGTCTTCCGCAGGGAAGACCCGGCATCCTCAGTGCTGCCGCACCAAGGCCAAACCCACACAGCCCAGGATTACTCCAAGTGTAGTGTAAATCAGCATCAGCCAGCCTCATGGAGCCATCCGCAGAAGGTACCTTTATATGACTCCTCCAGCAGAGTGTATGCGGGGTTGTGTGGTTCCGGTTCCGGCTGGGCACCATCCTGTGGGAGCCTGGACACATTCTGCTCATCGGCCTCGCAATTCAGTGACGCTTCGTCTGCACGAAGCGTAGATATTTTATTCTGCAAACAAAGAATACCCATCCCTAGATGGGCATGCTGTGGAGGGCGCCGCAGTACTGTTGGTTCTTCTACTACTTCGTCATCGGCGGGCTGTGGCTCATCGGTCCGCAGCCCCTCGGCTCGTGACCATCTCTCTCATAACAGTGACGCTGCCCCTGCAGGAGTTCTGTCATACGGTGCCTCAGAGAAGGGAGTGCCGTCTTTGAGAGCAACGCTGCGACATACTGTGGCATACGTGGACAGTCAGCGCAGAGGTGATAATGTGACTTGGGTTTATCTTGGGTTCCATCAAGTCTCACGAAAGGACCTCCCCACGAGAGGAGGCTCGTCCTCTTAAGTAGATGCTGGTTGGGCCTGTGTTTTCGTGTGTTGTCTGTACTCAGGGGCTTCTGCAGTGCCTTATGGACAAACTCCAATCGGTACGTTCCAGAGAAGCGTGATTTCCCCTCCTAGCGCGTTTGTGCAGGCACCCGCCACCCAGCCACTCTCTGGCAGCTCTGTTGGACCCAGGACGAATCCCACGTCCACTGTGACGCCCACTGGCGTGCCAGTCACCTTGCATTTTGACCCACACCGCTCTTCTCCGTTTGAACTCTCCAAGTTTGATAGGCGCGATCCATACGTCCACTTCTATATCCCTGTTGATTGCCCCTTAGCTCGGCGGTGAGGGTCCCTAGAATCCAGCAGTACAATGCTGCTAGCAACAGACGCAGAAGTTAAGTTGGCCCCAAGGCAGGTGCACACCAAGTGGAGAGGAGGAATGTAACATCTGGAAGACGGCATGCATATGCTGGAGGCAATTTGTCTCTCCCGAGGCGTTCCCTATTAATCCAGCCGAATGTGTGGGAGCTGCTCCTTTAAATGGTTCTTGAGAAGCGTTTCGTGTTTATGTGCGTCCGCTGCTGTACAGATGCTGGGATGGCGTCTGCCCTTTGGCACACACGAAACTCGAAAAGATTTTTCATCCGATTGTATACAAGACACAAGTGGGTTGGCTTGGCCGTTTAATATTGGCCATGCGGTCAGCCTGACCCCTGCTGCTCCCACCCGCAGACTTTCAAGCTTTTGTTGTGCCTTTTGGAAACTGGCTGAAGAGGAGCTGCCGGTATTAAGCCTCAAGAGTTGCAGTTGTCAGTAATTGTAGGTCCGTAAGATCCAGAGAGATGCTTGCTAATGTGATGCTCTCGTGGGTCTCATTGTTGTTGTCGTCTCTCAGAGGTGCCAGATGGCTTTAGCTGATTCTGGTCGATGTCCATATATTAACAAGTGCGCTTTCTTTCACACCGAAGAGGACAGAAGAGAAGCGGAGTTACGGTGGAAGGCTTGGGAAGCTGAGTGGGCTTGTTGGCGCCAACAAATAGACGAACTGTTACGTAGGCATCACAAGCTTGAGGAGGACATCAGACGGAAAGTTGAAGGAATAATCAAAATCCGCATGCCGCGGTCTTCACCAAGCGACCTGTTAGGTCGGTGGCTAGCAAACCTTGGCGTTTTAGCCGGATTCGGCGAACAAAAGAAGTCTTCCGTTCAGCAGAGCTCAAAGGGAATGGGGCCCGTTGGATTAGGGTTAGGCTCGGTTTCGTTTTCCTCCCCAAGGGGGAGGAGCTTTGCAGAAGCGGGACTTGGTGGCGAGGCCATGGCTGGGGTCGCCGACACTGGAAGAACACCTTCTGCGTCACGTCTCGAGCAGTCTGTGGGTTTGTGTGGCCTGACAGAGGCACCTGTGTTTGGCATCCAGGCAACTTCAGCAGTGATTGGAAATACTCGGCGTTTTGTAGAGCATTCTGAAGACCGTTCGTCTGCTGTCGGGCGTGAATGGTTGTATATTGCAAACTCTTGGAACAAACAAGTTGCCCAGCAGTGTAGACAAAGCGGGGGTTTTATAAGTAGGGTAGAGACATCCACTATCAGTACCCGTTCAACTGTTCACGAAACCCTAGCACCCGTGACCAAAGACAGCAAAGCATTTCATTCGTCCTCAACTCGCATGCCAGCTCAGGAAGCTAGGTCGGGGCATGATTCGAAAGCTTCTCTAGCGCGAGAGCACACTTTCATCCATGGCGTTTTCGGCCAGAGAGCTGCGCATTATGGTAGCCGGCACGATTCTCCCCACACATCGTACGGCTGCAGCTCTGCTGGTTCTCCAACGGATCATGGAGCTGTGCCGTTGCGAACGGCGGAGGCTTCTGTTCGATCCGTAACAACGGCCAAAGTGGAAACGGAGAACAGGGTAATCTCTACTGTAATTACGTCCCAGACACAGCAGACTGTGGCGATTTCTGCTCCTGTGGATTGTACCTCGTTACCTCGAATGAGCACATCAGAAACCACGATCCAGGGAGGCGCCAGTAAACATTCTAGTCCCCACGATGGTCTTGTGTGTAAACCTCTCCGTTTTGTTCGGCCATCGGAAGCCAGCGAGAATGTCGGAAAGTCTGCTGTCGTTGAAACCCAAGTGTCGGGGAAGGCAGCCGCAAAGAGTGAGTGCTGTGTGGCAGGTGAGACAACTGGCGGTACCCGAGTGCCCGAGCAGCCCAGTTGCTTGGTTATCCAGACTCCTTCGTCTTGCAATGAAAATAGTGGCTGCGAAGGGGAACAGGGAGGGACCGTTTCTAGTGAAGGGTCCTCCCGCAGTTCTATCACTGGGTGTCCCTCTCAAGCCGGCTCAGAACCGTACCCTTTACGCCCGAGCGTAGAGGGACAAGACGACCGTCAGGATGTGGCTTGGACTACGGTAGTAACAGAGGCGCCTAAGGAAACAGGACAAGCTGGAGTGATTAATAGCGGCTCTGACGGCGCTACTAACCCGCATCAACAACCCTGCAGTTGGGCGTATGGCGAAAGTGTTGGGGGTTTAGGAGGGGTACAGATAGGTCAAATGTCCTGCCCGAGCAACCCGTTTGAAAGCCAAGAGTCACGGAGAGTGGCAGAAGAAGATGAATCTATTTTAGAAGTTGCCAGTGCTCCACAAACTATTGCGATTCAACGCAGCACGTCCTTGATGGATGCTCCACCCTCTTGTATATTGCAGGATGATTCTGTATCACAGGTGGAGCAGCTCAGGAGCATTACCTCACAGGAGTCCTCGACGGCACCGGCTAATTGCACGCCCACTGCCCGATCATCCGCAGATGAAGAGGGTTCTGCAATTGACAGTACAGGCTGCTCTAACAAGAGCTCAACCGTGCCAGCGAACCTCGGCGAAGGTGCATTAGCGGAAATGCACGGGGATCTCAGTGCTCGCATTCTTCCCCCGTTGCCAAATCGTAACGGAGAGAATTCAGAAGTGGAAGCAGTGGATATACAGCCGAAGCCTGTTGCCGCCGATGCTGTGCAAGGCACTGTGGAGGAACAGGCACTTGGGCAAACCTGGAACCGTGCAACATCAACAGAGGGTGCAACCGCCTGCACTCCCCTTCAGGATGCTTCAGAACGGGATGCATTTTCAGAGACGATTGATACAGGAATGTGCCGAACGGAGGCCCCTGCGGGCCAGGGGAGCTGTGCGACCGTTTCGCAAGACGAATTGAATTTTCTGGCACGGAAGCTTACCGATTTACTGCGTACTGCAGCAGAGGAAATTCGACTCTTAAATATTGGTTCTCTTGCAGATTTGACGAGGAGCGACGAGCACGGCCAGAACAGAAACCCAGCGGTGGGTGAACCTGCACTTACAACTTCAGGGGGCGTTGATAGTTATAGCGTGCCTGTTTCTGGTAACGACCAAGACGCAGAATCCCTGCCTAGTTCCAGAGCTTCGTCGGCTGATACGGAGAGACAAGCAGTGCCTGCTGCGCTTCCAGGGAGTCAAACACCTCACCACCCACCGGACTAAACCGTTCTCACTATAGGACTGCCTCACGACGGAAGCATGGTCTTTTTAAAAGGTTGCTTCTGACCATCGACTGTTTGCTGTATGCGACTCGACGTCTTCGTCGTCGAGCTTTCTTCGAAGTCCTTGCCTTTCTGAATACGGCTGGCTTCCCACATTGTAATTAGTCCCGAAAGGACCTATCCTCGTGTGCTTGCTCTTTGTGCATTCCATCTGTGAGCCCCGCTGGCTTTGCTGCGTTTTGTATCGAGTGCGTTGGCAGCCGCAAGCTGGGCCTACAAATCATTAATCCATTTGCTGTGTCACCGTGGTGTTTCATCATGTGACCTCATCAGTTGCCAGACAGTAACATGGGAGCATAAGTCAACACACACGTTGGGAACACCGCTCACTTTGGCTACGCTATTTCGGGCGGACGTACCCACTGCATGCCCCCATTCTACTATGGCCCTCGTATGCTTGACAAAATGGAGTTTCAAACATTCATATTATGCTTGGCAGCACTTCCACAAATGTGGGAACGTTCTGCGCAATCTGCGCCGCTTGATAATGGGTGTGGGGCTATTCAAGCTCCGTTTCCTATTCCCATACAACATATTTAGCCGCGGATGCAGATGGGAATTCCTGGCGCTGGCGTGGGGTGGGCTCCCTTCCAGAGGATTGCACGGAGCAGGTGGAATTCTAGAGCTACACGGCCTAACTGCTACAAAGCAAAGTGGCAATACAGCGGTTCCTTTAAAACGCAGCAGTTGGGCAACCCACGGAATCCGTACTCTTGTTCTGTTAAGCGGCTACTACAGCAGTTAGACGGACCACAGCCACTGATGCCGTTGTTGTCCCCGCGGTTCTCAGCAAGAAATATTGGCTGCCTCTTCCCATTGAGATCCGTCACGAACGGAAGAGAATATCCGTTGTTTACAGCCGCAGTGGTATGTTCTACTACTACCACCCAGAACTAAGTGTCTCTGGAATGCTTGGCAAATGCACCAGTTCCACTTGTTAAATTTATTAGGTGAAGTAGCACCAACCCAATTATGTCTTGCCCGTCGTGCCCATTGCCCTGTAGTGCAAATATGAAGACAGCCTAATATGCTTCTAGTGAAAACGCAAGCGCAGGGCACGTTGCACACCACAGTGCAACCCCGTTCGGTGCATTGTGCTGCGGGTAGCGAACTGTGGTATTTCACATTTGTGACTCTCCCTGCAATACGTAATACCTAACTAAAATCTCATTAACCCTTGGAACCAATAGGAGTCGTCATGCTCCACTTACATTTTCTCCGAGACAACAGGGCGAGAGACGAAAACACAGAAAGAAAGCTCACAAGTTCATCATTACCGAAGATCGCGTCCTCGAGTCCTTCCGGATGCCTATCGACGAAGGCGTCTAGGACAAGCTACAAGCTGGCACAGGCCTCCTTCACGAGGGACTTCTATCACACAAAGAGATTACTCTCATCACAGCATGTTTGAAGCAAAAAGGTGAATGGCTTCACCTCTTACATTAATTCTCTCCAACCGGTGCTCGCGGTGTGGTGGACACCTGGGAAAGACGTTCAAAAAACATGATCGTCACGAGATATGCCTGGTGATTAGGAATCCAGAAAGACGTTTAAAGGCATTCTTGTATTTCAAGTACTCAACTGGTGTGGGATACTGCCGAAGAAAATCATCAACGCAACCTAATCTCCCTGTAATGCGGGCGGGGCTTCCCAGTGGTCCGGTAGAAGACTGTATGACGGAGGCCCCCGTACACCTCTTTAATTTTCCTTTGGCTTTAACCAACGTAATAACACTCGTGTCTACTTCATGAAATGACAGGTGGACAGCTATTTTTCATTCATGATTGACGGGCTCTTCTAACACACGATGGACACATTAAGAAAGCACTGTGACAGTGTCCCATTATAAGGGTTTCGCTCTTACTTCACTGTCCTAGCTTGCTGCTTTGGTGAAGCAAATCTGGCTGGACAGATTTGGATAGGCTTAGGAGTGTCACATCTGTACGAACCACTGCACCACTGGAAGATACGTCTGCACTTTTGGACTGACCAGTCTATAGGAGGGCTTATTCGCCTCAATAATGGCATCAAGGAACCATCGGCTACTGCAGTGAAAATGGACGGGCTCCATTCGAAATTTACCCTCACAACTAAGGTAAAATATGTAATTGGAGCAACCCTTCTGTCGTCGACCTTCATTTTCTACATATACGGCATTAGCGCCCCAGTATTTCGAATTACCGGTAAGATAACCCACACCGAATAGTAGTACTACTCTTCGAGAGGCTTTTCAGAAGTTCAGGATGCGTTACGTGGTGTCAGTGACACGGGTGCTCCAGTTTGTCTTAGCGTCTATTTGATTTCCCTGAATTTTGTCTATCAACACATCCAAAACTGCAGCGTAACTCATGCTCCGTGTTGTTGTTGTCTTCTGCAGGTGGAGGGCCCGGGCCGTTTGAAAGCCAATCAGGATACCAAGACTTCACCCTGCCAAGATTGCTCCATCTTCTGTTAGAACAGCGCGACTATGTTCCTTTTGTGTGCATTTTTGTATTTTCATTTTTCCTCCCACTGCTCAAGTTTGCACTCATCACTGGTACCCTAGTGAGTTCTGCTTGTTGCCGTCGACGCTCGCTTTCAGTCACCTTGCCCCTAAAGATTGCTGTGGTGCTACGAGTAGTTGCAAAGTATCAGCTTGTGGACGTGTTTTCGACTACCATCTTGGTGAGCTTCATCAACTTTGTCGGAGTCTCTGCGGAGCCACTTTTTGCCGCTCAAGCCTATCAAGCGTACTGTCTCTTTTCAATCATTACTATTCAGTGGCTGTGCCATTGCTATTCGGATATGCTGGACAGACGCAAGATGGCAGGCTGTTGCTGGAGGGTTCAAGCAGCCTTGCGCAATCCCCTGCTTCCACGTTTCATTCCCATGAGAATACGTATGCTTGAAGGTACTATTGATGAACGCGCCACTCCCTTGGATTTTGCCGAAGATTCCGGAGGCCTTTTAACCCCAGGGTTGCCAATGGTTCCCCCTCTAGCATCAACGGAGGGTACGCAACGCACAAGACTCCACTGGTGCTCCCAGTGCGTTAGACAGCGGAACTCCAGTCACGTGTACTCGCTTTCGCGATGCAACACATATTGGGAGTCAGTTAATCGACCGATAGAATTTTCAAGCTACGCAAATCCAGCTGGGCTTCACTGTGCCAGTGGTGGAGCCAAACACGTCCCTCTCGGAGGTAGTTGTGATGTGTGTACGATTTTTGAAAGAGATGTTTCTCTAGCTGCTAGGGGTCCAGATCTACCTGCCTCTTTATTGACTTTTCCACATGATTTATGTGGTCGTGGTGGACATTTTGTGAACTGCTATCCTCACGCACTTTTCCGCATTCCAGAAGCCGCCGCTCCTGATGAGCCTGCCCATATCTCGAGAGACGCTTTTCTGGGACCTACACAGTCAAGATGTTGTTTTTCAGGTTGCCTACTTCGCATGTTCTTTTTATCATGTAGCTTTTGCATATCTGCTTTGGCTGCCTTAATTTGCTGGGTACGGCCAATTTTGCAAGTTGCGTTGGTCCCAGGAAAGCTGAGAGGGTTTGCAATAGAAACGTGCGAGATGTCCTTGGGGGATGTATTTTGGAGGCTATATTCTATGGGACATATGTGGAGTGGCTGCACTATTATTGCTGTGTTTACAGTATTAGCGACACTGATGTTGTATGTCGCTTGTATGTGTACCCTAGCAAGTGCCAGTGTTGTGTATTGGACAACAAGGAGTTCAAATCAGCTCCAAGTGTCCACAGTGCCAGGGAATGTTTCACAAAGGAGCCACAGTGGTCCAATAAACATTGCTGAGAAGGCCATGCGCATGACGAAGGCGTTCTCGGACGTTTCAGTTTTTCTTGGGGACATAGCTATGCCTGACGTTCAAAGTATTGGTTTGTTGGCATGCTACTGCATTGCCAACAACATCGACTTTTTAGGGGCGCGTTTGCCGGGAGCTCCAATTGGGAGCCCCAACGGTACTCTGGAGAAGTTATTGTGGAATTTCAGTGGCTTCTGGGCAATGGTGGCGTTGGGAGTTAGTGCATCGCAGGTTCACAGGCTCTCGGTTTCATTTGATGATGTACGTCAGGATATGGGTCCACTGTTCCATACAAAGGATAACAACGATTTTCCAAATATATTTTTTACACGGTCACGTCCAAATCCAGGCTCCCCACACCCTCTACTTAGAAACAGTGGGCGTGGTGGTATTCGCGAACTAATCCTGGAGGATGCACCAGCTGCTCGCCCTCCAGAGTTGAGCGCGCTGACGGAGAATTCGAATTTTTTCAACTGGACTTTGAGGCGCCGGAGGCATCGGTCCTGCTCTTTTGGCTTGATACTTCACGGATGTATTCGGATGGTTGTATCAGTTGCCCTTCTTTTGCCCATCTGGCTCAAACCAGCTGACATAGTAGATGTTGACCTTGGCCTAGTTGTGAGTCACTACTTTACCACGCACGCTGCTGTTGCACATGCCCATTGACTTTTTCTAACGTGCCCTTGCAGTGTTGTGATTATGTTTCCTGTTGGTGTTTGGTCGCAGAATAAGCATCTGGAAGGCTTCACGGAGTATGTGAACCCACTGTTGAAGCAGGTCCTACCGCAGTCACTCGGAGATTGCGCTTCCGCTACCCATGTAGCTCCTCGTCCATGCGTTGGAGCAATGCCTCTTGCCTACATTCGGACGGACATTTACGAAGCTACAGCCCGCTGGGCCACAGGACTTAAGACAACGGAGCTGCATACAGCGCGTTTCGAAGTAACTCCCAAAGGCAGGTACGCAAGCGAACACTCTAAGTATTCAGGCTGGCAGAGCTGGTGTCCAGGTTAGTTGGTATAACTTAAATATATGCACACATATGTTAACATTGTTGGAGAGGAGGAGGGGTCAACCCGAGAGAAAACGGTGCGGATCAGGCTTACTGCTAGATGGTGAATCTTCTTAACCTACTGCAAGGCGTGCGGAGCTCGTTTGGTGGCAAGAATCATCATGGACGCTTACACAGAGCCTGTATTCTTGTAACGTCGGTGGGAGTTGAAGAGGGAAGACCGAGTCGGATGCTGCTTGAGTTTCCGTTGTCGGCGATTGTTGTATCAATGTTGTGTTTTCAGGATTACGTTTACAATTACTGGAAAAATTAACTCCCTATCCTTGTCCTTACGGATTGGAGGGTGCTTTTATGGAGAAGATCACGGGAAGTGCCCTGTGTTGTGGGACGGCACTGACGGTTGCTGCGGAGATGACATCACGTTCATGCTTGAGATGAGTGCCAGGTGCAGTAGTTCATTTCCGTATCTCGCCGACGCAAATTTTTTGCGCACGCATATTTCCAGGCTTGTCGTGAAAGAAAAGGTTTTGGGAATTTTCTCCATGGAATTGACCGATATAACGCAAATTGTCGAAGACCAGTTGTCGGAGTGGGCCCGAACCTACTTGGATCCAAAGAACAAATGGATTCAGTGGAAAAATGGAACGGCTCTAAGTGTTATCAATCTCTTGAATGTGTTACTAGATATAAATGCACCAGCTGGAATCATATGTCCTCGCGCACAGTGACGGGCGAGATCCCCCCATGTGTGGTTTGGCTTCCAACCGACCTGGCAGGTTAGTGTGCATCAACTCGTCTGGATAGGACTCATACGTGTTGCTAAGATGCTATTACGATGAGATGTAAGCAGACGACACTATGGTCGGCATGTCTATGCCGCGTACACTAGACACAATAAAACTACTCAGCCAAACGGACGTTTAACCTTGCAGCACCGCCCACTTCTTAACATTTAGTTAGTTCAGTATACTCCTGCAACGTTTATAGGCAACCTGTGATTATCCTGCTGGGCCACCGGGCTCTCCCATGATTACAGATTAGGGTGGCAGCAGAAGAGGAAAAGGTAGGACCAAATGAGTTACAGCGTACAAAAAAACTCCCGCTTGTTTGGTGAGGAGGAAATCCCAGCTGGACCAGTGCACAGCACTAGTTTCCGTTCTCCGCCTTTGAATGGCCTGTAGCCTTTGCAGCATCCAGTGCAGAAGGCGCTAAAGCCGGTGGTCGAGTGCCTGCCTCAACAGTAGATCGCAACGTGTCTAGGTAAGCTCTTATGGGTATTCCTTCCCCGCCAGACTGCACGACCATGATATTGCCATCTGGCTGGAGCTCCATTACAACCTCATTCATGCAACAGAGATACGAACCCGGTCCAAGCCTGCAAATATGAGCAGCCAGAGATCGATATTCTGGACGTTCACACACATGGGCGACCGCTTCGTCGAGCGGATCCCCTTGAACAGCGGAATAGGGTGGGCAGAAATGCTCGGACAGTGGGCCGTAGCCTGCCGTAGAGGTTCTCGATGCCGACGACGACATGGGCTTGTTAGTAGATGGGGGTGGCTTTGAGGTAAACTGGAACTCTTTAGAACTTGAAGGGTTCATCGGTGCCCCATGCAGTTGAGTTGAAGATGCAAATCGGGAATTCTGTGGAGGCGAATATTGGCAAGCGACGAAGTCGGCGTCCATGGTGCGTAGGCTGTGCTCTACAGGAACTGATGGGATGCCACTAACTGCTGCAGGGGGGTGCAAAGGCGCGCTTTGGTGACTATGCTGCTCGGGTGACTGCAGGGCTTCCGATCGCACATAGCAATTCTCTGTTGCCTGAGCGGCTCCAATTGCTTTGCGAATCCTCTCCATCGCCGACTCACTCCGAAACAGGTCTTGCTTTGCTGCTGCCAACTTCTCGCGCTTGTCATTTAGAGCGGCCCTACACAGTTCCTGTTGCATACGTGTGTCGAGGGCTAGTTTACGGCTCTTCGAGACTTCCGTCAAATAAGCAAGCTGCCGCTCAGTGTCATTCTTCCGAAGCTGTGTCTCGAGCTCTTGCATGTAGGCATCTTTGGCAGCCATGGCCTTTAGCATCTGTTGCAGCTGTGAGTGGGCCCCTGTAAGGTCGTCTCTCAAAACACGCACTCGTTCCTCCGATTGCTTCAATAATGTGTCCCGACGCACCACTTCTGCCTGCAGCTGCATAAGCTTTTCATCCCTGTTTGCTAAAGTGGCTTTGAACACATTGCATTGTTCGGCCGCTATACGATACTCTTGCTCAGCCTCTTCCCTCCTGCTCTGTTCCTTTTTCAAACGTTCTTTTGAGCGTGCTGCCAGGACTTCAAGTTCCCTTGACTTCTGCTGTAAGTACGCCTCGACGCGCGCTACTTTCATGTCGCGCTGCGAGAGCAGCTCAAGAAGCTCTGCTGCTTCCTTGCGCTTATCCGTGAGCTTCTCAAACGTATCGTGCTGCAGCTCTTCGGCTGCCTCTCGGTCTGCGCGTAGTTTCTTAATCTCCGCCTCTGCCAATTCTAGCTTCCCCCGCAGCTCAGAAGCCCCTTGAACCATTGTAATTGCCTGGACACCTAGTTGGAGAGCAGACGCTTCCTTCGCTGACGGATCAACAGTATCAAGTACAGCCGTCTGTCGCTCCTTTTGGAGAAGTAATTCCATCAAATCTTGTCGTTCACGGCGTAGCACTTCGATTCTCTTCCGCATGGTCTTGAGCTCCGCATCTTTCTCCTGTAGAGCAGTTTTATCATTGCTGCAACAAGATGACACAGTCTCGCAAAATATAGAGAATGACCTAGGGGACACTGCAATTAGTTGATTATCTATGGAGTTAGTTTGGCTCCCTACACTAAGGTGTCCTGAGTTTCACAGCAAAGCACTTCAAATCCTCCCCCCACTACAGGCAGCTCGACTGCTTATTTCTAGAAGGCCGTTATATGGTGTTGCTGCCGTTGTTCGAGAAAGACTCGGGACTGACCTCGCATCCTCCGACTGCCTTTCATGTTCTCCTTGTTGGCTCTGATCTTGCAACTTTGAGAGTGCATCTTGGAGCTCTGCTTCCTTCAAATCCAGTTGGTTCTCTCGCGCGTTGAGTAGAGCCTGAAGGCGCTTGACTTCCTGCTTCAGGTCCTGCTGGGGAGTTGTGGCAGTTTCACGGAATTCTATAACAGCGGGAGACGTTGTGGCTCTGGGTTGAAACGGTTCGCTCTTTAAATTGCCACGGTGCTGTGTACCTGGTTCTGGCACCTTCACCAACGAATGTGGCTCAGTGAGTTTCCTAGCGCCACCACCTCTTGCGTATGGTTCACTGGCATAGGGAAAGTCCTCTGGAGGGTTCATATACGAGGTGGTGTACCCGTACTTAGGCACTGGCGCTTGCTTGCCGTGAGAGGCACCAGTCACAGCGGTGAGGCTTGGGCTGGCATCGGCATGAAAGCCGAGCCCAGGCACCTCCTCCGCATACTTGCTAGTGCACACTGGACCAGGCGAGGGGGTAGTTTTCGGGGCACTTATGTTAAAGGCCGTCTCCAAAGGGTACGAGATGTAGTGGCTAACAACGGGAACCGTCCCTGTGTTGGCGTAGGCCACGGGGCGCATGCTGGGAGGGTATTGGACCCGCTTCAGGATTTGCCGTCTCGTGAGGGGACAGATATCGTCACAGTTGAAAAGCGTCATCTGGAGATTTCGCAGGCAAAAGCCTTCCAAAATGGCAGTGGGAGACCTCTCGTGGATACGATTTTCAATACCTTCTTCCGTTCACGTGGAGCATGAAGGTTGAATACGTCGCGAGGGAAGGGCCAACGGAACTTTCCCTGCCCAGCAGAAGTTGTTAGATGTAGTTGCGTGACCTGGAAGTGTTTCTACGCTGTGTAAAGTTGATATGTTCGTTGAGGAGGATATACTGGAATCTCGAGGGGTGTTCGGGCAGGGAAAAAATCAGGGCACCTGTGGGGGGCACTTCATGCTCAACGAACTCTCATTGTCACCTGCATAAAGAAATGAGTCTGCTTTTTAAAATATCTGTTGGTTCGATGCTCTTGAAGCACGCCGATTCTATCAGGTTATCCGGTTCTCTCCATGGTTTTCTCCGCAGACAACCTGAGTTGGTATATGTGTAAAAGCTGCCTGATGAGTCAAAATATCGCCCTTTGATGCTACAAATGAAGACAAATACTAAAATTCGGACGGTAATTCGTCTACTCCCCCAGTACGGGAGACGGTGAGTCAAGAATTTGGAGCCGTTCGCTAGTCGCTGGTCCAAACGACGCTCGAGAACGCCTTGGCATTGCAGCAGCAGAGCCCCTGATGTGGACAAAATAAGTGAGGCTGAAAAAGATAAAATTGACGGGAAGAGATACATTTGTTGCCAGCATTCTTGGGGTAGGACTACTGGCACAGTTACCAGGGTAACACAATCGAGGTCCCCAATGGTCCGCTAGACCCCAGATGACCCTAACACCTGCCTGCCACAGCGGGGAGCATTCTCCTCAATAATGTTACTTAGTTTCGTGAAGGCTGTTGAAAATAAGCTGTAGATTGTTTGTACCGTTACGAATAAACTTTCTCAAGCCCTTGTGGCTGACTGTGAAGCGGCATCCACAGGCCTCGCCCAAGCTGGAGGAGGCAAAACGCAACTTTTAGCTGAGTACACTTTAAAGTAATTTAACTGCATGGAGTGTGTGGTGTACAAAGTTCAAAGAGCCTGCATATGCCTCTGGTCTCCGTACGTAACTCCCAATAGCAGGCCTGCTGTTTTTTGTTGTGGGCTATTCATACAACACCACACCATTCCGACGAGTGAGGCTGCTTCCACCTCGTTTGCTAGAAGATGTGTATTCAAGTGTCACATACTGCTGAGTGATCCCTTGTTCTTCTTCTCCTTATGCACACTACCGCTCAGCTAACACGAAAATCCGATGCACCGACCCTGATGAGTTTCACGCAAGAATATTGTCTACAATATAGTCGTCCCTTGAACACTTTCCCTGTTATCCAAAAAGGGACCCATCGTAATGGTTCGTTATGAAGTATCTCTCTCTTACAACAACGTGCAATAGGCGACGCCGCTGCATATTTTTATACCGCTTCTGTACGGTTCTCTGGCACACGTCTGAACTGCTATACTAAGAATGGAGCATCTTCATCGGAAAATAATGTATATGAATTCTGCCTAAAACAATGTCACAATGAGTTGGGTCCAGCAAACACGTTTTTGATGAACCATATTGTGTGAGGCCGGGTAAACGCAACATGTTGCTGCTGAAAATAAAATGACGTATATCGCACGCTTCTGCGTCAACAGAGACCTACGGTAACTCTGTACATTATAAAACCTAAAACTTCTTTTGCTGAGTACCCTCTAATTGGTATTACAGTTGCCTCTGCATTTCAGAGTCGTAGTCAGAAGCAAGACATTGAGCGGAGTCTCCTGTGCAAAACTGTGTCATCGCCGGTTGAGGAACTTCAGCAAGGTCTTGTATGCGAATTGGTGCATGGGCTGGAGCAACATAGCAAATCACACGAAACCTGCCTTCAATTGGCCGCGGTGGCGCATTAGCAATAAACACTGTGGCATCATGCACATAGAAATACACGCTTCGCCTCATACAATGGAATACACTTGTAAAATGGAGTACCTGGGCAGTGGAATTCCGTGGCCTCAGGTGTAGCCTTGACCGGCAAAGGAGCAGGCTTCTGATAACCTGCAAGACACCACAACGTTAGTTAGGAGATGATGTTTTGGAGCCGCAAACGCAAATGCCTACTGCGCTACGGAGTGCTTAACATATGAATGTGGGAGTAGCTGTACTTGTGCCCTTTCCAATCATGGCATTTTGAGCCCGTTCGTTCTTTTTCCATGGGCATTCGACAGTCGGGAAGGATCCATTCCATTGATCAAGCACTGCTTGCTTGTCTGCTTCCTCAGAACTGCTTGCGTATTTTCCAAAAGCCTGCGACAGTCCAGCAGAACCTTTAGGGGCATTCCAGGCGTTGATACCTTTGAGGAACTGAAACAGCACATATGTGTAACCTTCGTCTGGAGTTTTAGATCGCTTCCCCAAAACCTTGGATATTAACCTAATGCCTTCGTCTGTACGCATGAACGTGACGAGAAGAGCAAAAACAAGTTAGTTTTGAATAGCATCGCCGTGGTTAGGAACTCGCGGCTGAAGCAGACGAATGCAACATTTTCAATGCACAGGTCATTTCGACCTGTTTATCCTTCTCGCTTACCTTGAAGCTTAATGCATTGTTGCCCCATGAGGATCATGCTGCCTGCTTCTGAAGAAACTAGGTCGCCAAGGTGCACAACAGGGTGCTTGGCACAAAGATCCGCTAAGGCTTGCGCCGCCATCATCGGCAAGAGCCAATCTGAAATATCCCGTGAACCCAATGATGAATTAAGATACATTAAGCTCGCATTAATTTCTTTGGATATGTCCTTGAAGGAAACCTCGCGGGTTTCAAATCTTTCTTTTTTCGAAGCCAAGGCCCAGCCAGATGGCACCTGGAACTTGTTTGCTTTACACCCTGCTGTTACAAGTTCCATGGCAATCTTAGCCTGGTCGTGACCTGAAACATTGGGATGCGCACCGTATAGAACCCGTGTATGCCCTAGAATTCCTCTTGCTCCTTGCTGCTACTGCAAGCACTGCATAACTCGGGAGGTGGTATATGACAGGTAAGTTGCTGTACAGCGTACCATTGTTAAAAATGAGAAACGCGAATACCAGTCGAGCGCCTTTGAATGTAGATGCAGTACTCTGAGGTGATTGAGTCATATTGTTCTTTGACTCGCTTGGCGAAGGGCCGAGTACCCACCAAGTGACCAGCAGACGAGCCAGTTGCTGAACATCTGCTGAAATTTCACACATGTCTCCGTTAACTCTCTGCCTCTTCCCCTTCGTTCTCTTTAGTGTCCTCTTGAGGCGTTTTGCAAATGTTGGACTCTTTGTATCTGTGTCTGAAGGCATTAGCAGGTCCAATGCCTCCTCTACTTCCGCCACGCAAGGTGTGAACATTTCAAGGAAACTGGCTGTCTTTTTCTGTAGATGTTTCAAGGCAGACGCATAGGTGCTTGCACTAAATACCCCATCTCCCATTGTCTGCACTATTTTCTCCCATGGAAAAGCTTCGCTTTCCTCCAGTTCCACCCTTAAGAAGGTGCCTGGACCAAATGCATCGAGCACAGATGGAGAAGTTAGAAAGTGAGAGACCAACAGAGCAGTTCTCATGTAAAGTATGAACATACCAATACGATATTGCAAGGATCGTATTGTCACTGCTGTGCTTCTGGCCCTTACCAATTTGCATAGCCACCGAAGCGTACGGCGCAAACACAGGAGCCAGCAGTTCTCCACCGAATCCACATAAGAGCCATTTGTACACCGCGGCAAATACGTCTGACCCCTTTGCCAATTTCCGCTGTTTTCCTGCGCTCTCCATGCCTGCTCCAGAGTCGTTTACATAGCCACGAACGTTTGTTATCACGCTGGAAGCGAATAGCATTGGATTGGTCAGATCAGTGTCCAGAAGTGCCCTGCAGACATTGGCTGTGGCTATTAGGTTAATTGCATTGACATTCACGTTTCCACCAACCACAAAATCATGCACAGCGTTTGGAATTATGTTTTGACCATGGTTTCTATGGGAACGTTTCCTAGTGTCTTCCAGCAAAGACGCGCTTTTTGTTTCACTTGACAAGGAGGCATCAACATCACCCTGTGAATTCGCGGAGCTTCCTGTCTCAGCTCCCTCGGTTTCTGGCGGAGCGCGAATTGACGGCCCAGCTCCAGCTTCAACTTCTGGAGATACACTAGCGGACACACTGTTTGGTCGGCCCCTCGAGGCAGCCAACAGCAACTTTCCTACTAACCAAGCAGCAGCGATCTTCTGGTCAAGCTCAACAAGTTCGTCGGACGAATAATACGAAGCCATGCGCAGGGCTGCAACACGAGGAGAAACACTATGATACGCCCTTAAATATATAGCACGAGCAGAGCTCCAACGTAACAACGGAAAACAATTTCAACGAGACCTTTTAGAGAGGCTGCTCACCGTCGCCAATCCTTGTATCACGCGGTCTAAGCCGGTACGCTTTTCTACGCTTTTCCGTTGCCTTATCTGCCCAGTCTTTTCTTAAGGCTGCTTTGAGCAGGCACTCAGTATTACAGTTGCTCAGTGACCCTCTGGGTAGCAAGCCTGAGAGAGCACGAAAGATGTATCACCAAAGTAAAACAGATGAATACCCACCAGAACGTCGTATGCATAGGGTGTACTAGTAACCAACTGTATTTGACAAAGAAGCGCACCCGCTTGGCCTTTCTTAGGGTTTTCCATTGAGCAGACGGATCGCATCACGTGAGAAAAAGTGTGGGCAGAAGGGCTGTAGGCTGCACAGAAACACCCAACACACTTGGAGAAAAATACTTCTTTTTCTCCCCTCAAATAGTCTCTGATTGGCACGATCGAGTTGTATCGCACCGTGGTGGCCCTTGACCCTTCGCTCATTCTTCCAGAGCGAGTGACAAGTTAGGTTTTCCACTGATGCTCCATTGAGTCCCAATTCGCTAAATACTCCCGCCAGGCATTGACTCCTTAGTTGAGTGGATCGTCCTATTTCCTGTATAGGGGAAGCTGTGGATGGCGCGTATGCTCTAATCACTGGGTTGTCGTCAATTTGTTGGCCTACCGGGCCCATGAGGGGCGACCCTGCCATGTACCTTTCCAATAAGCGGGCCAGAAGGAGACTGGGCTGCATCATCAAGCTGGCGGCGTTCAGGGCCAGGCAACCAGGCAGAGAGTGCTGAAGAAGTACAATCTGCAATATCTCGATCACTGAGCCCGCAAGAACAAAGAGACAGTGAAGGAAAATAGGGCAAGTTTGACTCTTCCGAAATTTTTAATTCCAGGGACTACCATCGGAGGGTGGCAAATGGGAACTACTTGCTTTTCGCTGCATCAACAGCTGAAAATATGCTGTATTTGGCGGAGATGTCCTTCCATTTCTTGCTAGCTTTTCTCCCAGTAGGATATTCGGGAATTGGTGCGGCCAGGATCTGGCGTACTCCAACAAGAATGCGAAAGACTGAATTCAGCAAACAAAAGTTCCTAGGGAGGATCAAGCTTCCTGAGTTAGAGCTTGACCACCGTGGAACGAAAGCTGCAGGGGAGTACTGCTTAGGTGAGCTCAGGGGAAGCTAACCGCTGGAAGTTGTCTTCAACGAGTGGATAAGACCTCCGAAATTTCCAGTCTTCCTTCCGGTATCAAGGGATTCCCTGTATCCATTTTGGGTGGCAAAATCAAGAAAGCGGACGAAGAGTTCCGGGTCCGCGTCGTGGAGCGTATGCCATGAGCCGTTGAGCGTTGTATCCACAAATCCAACCTCCACTGAAGGCAATCGGCATTTCAGCATAACATCATACTAGCTGAGGGAATTTGACTAGGGGGAATCAGGTTTATAATTGTCTGGCCTGCAGTGCACTAAGCCAACATGGATATTCCACCAACCCGGGTTGGGAGCTAAAATAAGCTTTGAGGCGTCAACCGTCTTCTCGATGCCCTCTAGTGTGGTGCTTTGCCCGTCCACTGATTGTACACTAAAGACCGGCTCGCTGGCCTGGAGAAAGTCATCAAGAACCTTAACGTTGCTTCCGGGAGTGGGCAATGACAATATTCCTGTTCAAGTCAATCATACGCAAGGTCAGCCAGATTGATGGCTGCATTATGGCACACATAAGACAAAACCAATAGGCTGCGCGTGCTAGGATTCTATGGCTTACCATCTAGAATATTATTTGGCTCAGTCCCTATCAATCACACGCAAACAGCAAAATAAAGTACGGAATTCCCTAATACCGAGCTATAGCCCTAAGCGCCCTATCTGCCTAGCATGCCCCGCCTCAACGTGTTTCCAAGAGGGCCACGGCGTGGACCAACTCACCATTAATTTGTTTTAGTTCATCTAGGAGGCGTTCACAAGCAGTGTATATCAATAGGCCCTGACGGACTGACTGCAACTCTTGGGGAAAGTGTCCAGCTGTCCGTTGGTCAGCATCAGCCACAGCTTTCAAGCACAATTCGCCATCTGCGGTTGCAGCTTCAATAGCTTCAAACACTTCCGCCTGTTCACTTAAGCCTGAGCGGAAGAAATAGAGCAGTTTTCCATACTGGATGTGTGTACTTTGTAGGTGGCTTCCCAAGCTTGGGAACGAGGGCTACTTTTCGGTGTCAGTCCAAGGCATACTTGTTGCGAAGTTCCCCAGCACCTCTCTTTTTATATCGTTGATCTCAGTCAACCCACGTGCATCAAATGCCACTCCTAATCCGGCTGGAAGTTGAACGCAGGACACAAAAAAGGCTAGCACGGATTTCACATTCCCACCCTGTCTCTAATAGTTGCTAGTTCATCGGAGAACCGTCCGTTGGTACTTCCTCCTGACCCCTGTCTCACTGGTCCGTTTTAAACTATCTTGCCTCTTTGATCCTTTAAACTTGAGAGGCTTTAGTAGGGAGCGCTTTTTCTTTGGCTCCTCCAGTGGCGTTTCCGTTGCTTCACCTGCGGCGTGGCAATAGAAGTAACAATACTACAGCGAGCAACTTATACAGTGACCCGCACAGTGCAGCAGCCTATCAGTAGCAGGGACTCCGTGGTTCAATAGCCAAAAGATAAGAGGAATGAAACTAGTGTATGGGTGTAAAATTCTACAAATTACTTGGTATCGGCCTCTCTATTTCGCCTTCGCTTTCGTCACTCCCAGATACTAGTAAATTTTCCTGCGACGTGCTAAGGGGGTTAGTTGTTCCACGTCTTCTTCTCGAAACTTTCTTTTTTAGTCCCTTTAGTCCCTTTTTTTTCTGCATCTTTTCTTCGCCTTCTTTCAATGAATTGGTCGAACTTCCTTCTGAGAGCGAAAATGACAACAGAATAAGATCTTGTTTAACCAAGTTGGGGCATTGCTATGCAAACGCCAAACAGTCAGCAATTTGAATGAATGGCAGGATAGGCATTAGAAAAGCACAGTATTCCTTTCCACTGGCTGAAAGGCTAAAATGCGTGGGTATGCGTGGAAACGCCATGTCACTTCTCGGCGGTGCGCTGACTAAGCGAGATCATATATCTTGCAATAAACACCTGTTGTGGATTCATCATTAGAGCTATCAACCGTGTCCCCATCAGGAGATATCAGTGCCTCTCGTGATGCTGCTCGAGAATTTCTCTTGCCTCTCCTTCTCAGCGAAAAGGGTGCTTTTACACTCAGCAGACCCTTCTTCTTTTTGTTGCCCTGTCCTTCTGTCGAAGACTCGCTCGAACCTAATCAGGGGAAGCCAAAAAAAAACGCGATTTCACTAAAACAATCTAGGGTAGTTGCTACATTCCTATCGAGCAACCATTTGGGCACACCTGGCACTATTAACTGAGTGGTCACTGCAAAATGTACGCAAAACCTTCATAAACTGTCACCACGCAAAATCGGTATGAGCAGTTAAAAGGAAATAATGGGTCGCATATTCGGCAGCTCGCCAATTATACATTCTCTTGTATTATATAGGGAGTATTTTTCCACTCACTCGATGATGCATCGACAATCGCTTCGCTCTCATCGTCTGTGGGTGGTAATAAATTTTCTTGTGATGTGTCTTTGGCATTGCCTTTTCCTCGTCTCCTCCACGACGAAAAGAGCTTTCTACTGTGGGGTCTCTTCGCCTTTTTCTTGCCTTCTCCCTTGGGCAGTGACTTGCGCTCATCGTCCTCTACAAAGTAAGAATTAAAGCACAGAATAGGCGTGTAGCAGGCGTTTCGTCATCTATGGTGACTTCTGCTTACTATCCCACTTGGGCTTTGCAAATCACATTATCCTTCACGGTGCCCAGGTAAACAGTAGACTGGTTGCCGCCTCACCGCTGGTTTCGCTCGCGGACTCGAAGAGGCTATGGTGTATTTCTGCAACAAAGCCACCACAGAAGCCGCTACCAATTAAAGGAACCGTTCGAAATGTTACTATGCACACCCTTCTACTTCTGTGGCTTATACATTCAGACTAGTATAGTTTTCATAATAACCGTTAGCACAGCTCAGTTACATGAAATAACTTTATCTTGTTAATCGTCTGCTTTGTGTGTTCGATTTAAGTGGTGTGGCAAATACCCTACCTGCCAGTCTTGGACTGCGAAATTTGTCATCCCAACTTGTCATGTGTGCCTGTACCAATGCAGGCGAATCATCATTGCCTTTACTCCCAAGTATTGCTTCAGCGGCGTTGAAGTTGTCTATGCATCCAAGAATAGCTAGGGTCCACAAGAGGATTTTCCCTGAAAACGCAGGCAACAAGTAATACACGTAATGATGACCCAGAATGTGAGTTCTTATGACATGTTGCACTAATTTGTGTCTCTGCAGGAGACTGCTATTCTTGCGACAGCAACTGCAGCAAATTTCTGCATGGCTGTTTTTCACAACAAAATCAATGCTTTAGGGCCTTTCCTGAGCCGGTAAAGAACAGGGGCTCGTTTCCAGCAAACGCGTACCCCATGGGGTCATAGCATACGTCGAAGACAGTACAGCTGCCGGTCTGTTGACCCACAGTGACGACCGTTGCAAAGCGACTTGAGCGATTTGGGTACGCGTCGAGTCGGGCTCGTTGTATGGCACTTCGGAGTCGCCTGTGGGACAGGCAGTGTATAATCCAGGGATGTTTAAGCTTTTCGCTTGTTGTCCGTGCTGTTCACAGAGCATGCGAGTTAGAGGCGTGTCTGAGCATTTGCGTATTTCCTGGGAGGCATTCCGAGACACGCAAGCTCGGCGGTCCAAGCTTATGTCCATTTCGCCCGCTAATAGACTAGCGTTCTAATCTGCAGAAGATAAGACTCAATATGCGCAAATACTTCCCAGCTTTACCTGCTGGCGGGAAAGGAGAGACCATGCGGAGTCAGTCACCGCCGACAATCACCTGCCTCACAAAAACCGTTGTTCCAGAACAGTCCCAGCCACTACCCTTCCTCCCATTCATGAACTAAGCTGGTTCAAAGGTGAAATAATTAGGCTTACGTGAAGGATTGGCAATTTGTTTCGTTTTTGCGTTGTATGGGTCAGCACTCGACGGGGACGACGCAGTGGCGATCGTACGCTGCAGGGAAACTGTGGGTTTGAAACTGGACTTCCGAAGTTCATATGCAAGTCCTTTGTGGAAAACAAACTAATAATGTGTCTTGCTGTACATAAAACAGGAATCAACAATTTCCGTGCAGCAACTGCCCACACGGCACACTGGCTGGTCCACTGAGGAGAGGCCAACCATAACCTCACACTCGGGGAGTCCCATTGAACAGCTTACTGCCGACAGTTTGCCACAGATATCTATTAAAAACATTTCACAATACGTTTTACATTCACATAAACTGGAATTAATTGAGAACGTTAGTCGGTATCTAGTGCAAAATTGTACCTTCTTCGCAGCATCTCTCCCTTGCCGTCGCCACCGGTGGTTTTGGCGAGCTGCTGGGCCAGGCAACTTATTATTGACAGAAATGAATTATTACATTACTCAGACCCCGGTCTTTGGCCTTAATATACAAAAATGTTCTTTCAATGTGACTTAAAGACCTATTTGTTGGGCTGAAAACTCCGGAGTGTTGACCATTGTTAACACGTGCAGTCAACTGAAAACCTTGTCCCTACCGCAGCAGCAGTTTTATGCCCTAAATAAGCAAAAGTTAGAATAAGACACTTCAAAGTATAGACACCACTTTAGTGAGGCATTCCATGCAAATGCACCTACCGGGTGCCATGAGCAGGAATGTGGAAGGCATCCCTAGTGTTATGATGGCATTTTACTTTGTAAATAACGGATGCAAACACACAACTTTGTGGGCAAAATCTAGGTTTTAATGATGAACAACCGTGATTTGTCCATACAGAACTTGGTTTCAGAATTTTCCATGCGGGCGAAAAGAGTTAGGGGCGAAATAAAATCATTACCGACCATAGAATAGAGTCCGCCCTGTAGCCTTTCTCTCGTCTCCCTCGTTTCCTGTAAAGAGTTAACCAGGCGAGCAGAGTTAGAGTAAGATCATTCTGATGAAAACGGTTGATGAAGCTCCGTTGGTGTACTCTAGCCGTGCGAAATCTGCTCAGTGCGAACTTGGACACAGCAAATTCGCATTACCTTCTACCACACCCTCACGTGAGTCAGGTGTACGACCTCTGAAAGGCAAGTGTCTGTTGAGTACTGGAACACCTACACGGAACTTCCGTCCCTTGCAACACGAAGGGCCCTCACATGCCTCTGCCGGCCAGGAGTTCAAACGGAGACAACCCTCAAACCTGACAATAAATCCCCTTGTGGTGTAATCTGCTTCCGTATCCTGCTTGGCCTCCTACTTCTTACTACAGCTCCTGCTTAAGTGAGGGACTGCCTGCCGCTGGGGAAAGAGAAAGAGGCAGCTTGCTGAAGCAAAACCCAACTAGAGTGCAGGTCCGGATTGTCTGGAGATCCGTCAATTCCGCTACACTACTCGGTGTGATGACCAGCTGAAAACATCTTCACGGAACTGAAGTAGCCCGTAGTTCGGTGGATTCGTTCCATATACTCTGAAGGAGATGCCTCTTCTCCGTAGCAACCTAAGCTGCAGCCAGCATACACTAGCGCAATTCGAACTTGTCAAAGGACAGACCCCAATACCTTTGGGCAGGCCAATAAGTATGAGGACTTCATTAGATTGCCTGAGGTAACGGACCGAAGCTTGAGGCCTCTAGTATGGTCCGTGGTTGCGCGGGAACGCCGATGCTCATGTGCCTCCACACTACGAAAGGGCTCTATTCTATCTAATCTACGGTGAGGTCTTGAAAGGGGGAAGCCATATCAACCTTAGGGATTGCGCTGGTTTACTGATGGCCACGGTGTGGACTGCGAGAATCTTCAATCTTGGCCGGAGGGAGTTGCGGGCTCCCACAGGGTCAAAATACTGAAAAGTCCCTCCAAACCGCTTATACTGCCATGAATTTCCAGTAGTACGATTCATGACAGCGCAAGGACTTAGTTTTAGTACGAGGTGGAGCAGGTCTTGGCAAAACTGCAACGCTCCGTGGTGGAACTCCAGCTTCAACCAACTCCGCAGGCACGAACGCCTAAGCGACCACTCGATACACCGCTTGATGCATGAACCAGCATTGCAGCAAATTTCAAAACACTCATTTACACAGTATCCAACCTATGACGTAGGGGGAAACTCAAATGCCAACTTAAAACAGACCATGCAACTTCATGACTGGTGTCTTTGCATGTATGTGGCCAAGGCGGGCCTCTCTATGAGTGGTAAGGCAAACATTACGTTTTGCGGAACAGAATGAAATATACAGAGTAAAAAAGGGAGACGAAAATTCACAGGCAATTGCTGTTGAAACATAAGGTCTTCAGCGTTGTTGCTATACCTGACCACCGCAGAGCCTACATTGCTGACCACTAAAATAAGCACGAAACTACGTACATAAAAACCGTTAATATTGGCAATCAAGATATTTTTGTAGGGCTTCATGTGGCCCAAAATACACGTTTTGGTGTGTTCTCGCTGCAAGCAAGCCATTGAGGCTGGCGTGTTGCAAGACATTGAGGCTGGCGTATTGGGGCTGGCACAAATTAGCAACATGGCTAAGGGGTGTGCCCTGTCAATCTTGAGAGCAGGTGGCCGTCCTAAACAACGCTTTTTCTTCTTTCCAACTGCTCGTACGCGGGTTTTGGGGATTTAGCTGCCGTCTTCGCCACCGTAAGAGAAGGCATTACGTACATGCACAAGCGTAGTACGCTCTGAAGGAGGTTACACAGAGCAAGCGGGCTAGTAGCCCCAGGACAATCAAAGAATTTGGATGATACAAGAATGCGGAGCTGTTGCCTCATTTCAACTTGTTATGGTGAGCAACAAGCGATGGTCACGCCCAACTGTCATGGAGACCGTCGGCTAAAATGTGGTTTTGGGGAGGAACTTCGAGCACTTCACCGCAGAAGGAAGTAACTGACATATCTCCTCAGGAATTCTACTCCGCCGACCACCTTCTGTAAGCTTAAATGCTTTCAGCCACAAGGTGAAGCTAGCGCCAACGGCTTTGCGTGGTTAGTGAGCACTAACTGTTGTGGGGTGGTTCGGGTTCTGTCGCGCAGGAGGCTGTTGGATTCCTTGCCGCCTTGTGATGCCATCGATGAGAGAAACCGGGAGTCCACAATTGAAACGCTGCGGCAGGTTGCTGAAGTGCTCGTGTGGGGCGAGCACAACAATCGGGGATACTTCGACACCTTTTGCGAGCAAAATGTCCTGTCGTACTTTGTGCAACTGGCGGAGCAGCCGAATGTCCCCAATACAGTCAAAGTACAGCTCCTTCAGACGCTAAGCATCATAGTGCAGAGCATAAACAAAGAAACAGCGGTTTGTAAGTGCTGAGAAAACTCATTTCACACTCAGCACCACAGGGCTAGCGTTGCTTCTGAGCTAAGCTGTCGTCACTTTGTGCACGCAGAGCACACGTACATGTAAGGAGCCGTTTGTAGATTAATAGCAACTCGAAAGAAATATATGGATGTACACGGAGTAGATGCGCACTCATTTCCTGCAGATTACATGTTCAGCAACAATTACATCAATTCATTGTTGAGCACGAAGTTCGACTTTGACGATGAAGAGGTTGCTAGCTGGTACGTCTCCTTCATCAAGAGCTTATCGCTGTTAGTAAATCCGGACACAATAAAGCTCTTCTTGAACGAACGCGCGAAGCACTTTCCCATATACAGCGAATCCGTGAAGTTCTTCCGAGCTAAGGATTCGATGGTCCGCACCCACTCGAGGAACGTCACTCTCAGTTTATTTAGAGGTACCTCCCCACAAATGTAGAAGTTTTAAACGACCCCACCTAGTTGTTGCTCTCCCGCGCTTTAGAAGCTTGTGCCTTTTTTTTCTGCGACCTCTACAATGGGAAGGGCATGAGTCCTTTGTGGGCCTCCATTCAGAAGTGTCTTGATTTGAACGCCTCCAATCGGTAGGTGCGTGCGTATGTGGGCGCAGTACAGGACCCTTCTTTGCGCTCTTTTCTCCTTGAGAGGCCTATTTTCTTTTCACACGTTGCCTGCTATCTCCGGGAGCTGTTGGATGGCCTACTTCTACGTTTGACCGCCACCCGTGCTCCTCCACCAGACCGTGACCGTGGCATTCAGGATGCAGTACTAGAAATAGAAGAGATGCTCTTTTACATTCAAGATATGTTCAATCTTGGCATTGAACAGTTTTCAGACCTTCTTGCAGCTCGCCTTCTGGTGCACTGCTACTTACCACTGATAGGTCAGTAACTTGAGGAGTAACATTCCGAACGTGACTGTCGTCGGAAGAGGCAGCTCTGCCAGCATCTGCGTTTGTTCGCAGGCATGCTTGGGATTCGTTTTAAGAGCAGGCGAGAAGGGGACAACTCGAGTTCGGAAAAAGCGGGAGCAGGCGCACATGACAATATCTCTCCATGCCCGCAGCCACATGGAAGTGGTGAACAGGATCGCCGCTCTGGAACGCCAAGGAAGAGCACTGCAGTTGACAGCTGCCCGCAAGTCGACAAGTCTGTTGAACAAGGTTGGATGTGGGGATGGGACACGCCAGACGATTTGCAGAGTCTAGGCCTCACCACAGGGATATCGGACAAATTGGGAGATGCTGACAGAGACTCAAATATTTTACCTAATCAAACCGTCGACCTCAGCAAATCGTGGCGTGCTCGAGCAGCAGAGGCAATGTCGAGGAGGCTAAACGAAGGTCCACGGGGAAAGGGAGAAAGCAGTGCATGTATGGTGCCAGAAGAAAGCAGTGCATCTGTTCCACATGGGGCTACCAGCGTGCCAGAGTCCCAACAACAAAACCAGTGGCACAGTATTTCCAACCGTGACGCGGTGATGCGGGTCATATTGTTCTTCTTGACCCATACATTCAATGTACGCCATGAGGGAGGCATTGTTAGTTGTTCCGCAGGCTGGAGTACTATTTGCTTATTTTTCAACGGAACGAGCAGTTTATTCTTCGTTTTGTGGCTGCCTGGTGTGTGTGTGTGTGTGTGTGTGTGTGTGTGTGTGTGCCAGTGCATTCAGAATGAAAAGTTGCTCCAACCCGTTGTAGCTGCTTTGCTACTGCCGCGAGTACCCCAGCCGCTGTACGAATTGATAATGGCCAAGGCACCGACGACCCCAGAGGCCTACAGAAATTTGCGGAATCCGACCGACTGCGCTGGGCGTATAGAGATGTTCCTCCCGATTCAAGAACAACCCAGCAGTGACGTGACTAGCGAAGTAACGACAGAGGGTAATAACGTCCGGACAGATAGCAATCACTCCTGTAAAGAAACCAGGGAAGCCACTTCACCACGGGAGGGTGACCACGAGAAAATCCTTTCAGACCTTTCTCTCGAAGACCGCATCCGGATGCTAAACATCTCTATGGATTTCCTTCATAAATTGAACTACTTCGATAACCCAGGTGGAATTGAAGGGTCCCTTAGTCAAAACCAAGCTTGGCAACTGCTAAGTTCCCAGTTCGCTTCTCAAGATGTCTCCGAACCGAAAGCAGAGTCCAGAAGGAGGCAGGCCAACGGGAATCAAATCATATGGTGCCACAATCCTGTTCAGCACCATCTGATAACTCTGCTCGACGGTTGCATGCTCGCACAGCAGCAATGTGACGTTTCCTTTCTCGTGTTGGCAATCCTACTGGAGTCCATATTCCGCCATCCTGCCACCACAACAGTGCGTCTGTTTGCCATTTCAAAACTGTATCGCATCCTTTTGGAACCCAGTTTAGCACTAGGACAGAACAGAATTAACACTGGTGGTTAGCAGGGAGTTTCTCAGGAGCACCAGCTCGCACTAAGTATCTTGCTGTTTCTGAGTATTACCAGTACACGTTTATCTAAGCGGAACAGGGGGAGGTACGTTCTGATTTCGTTTGGGGAATTAGTTTGCTGGAAGACGCTTTTCCAGTCAACGGGCTGAGTTGATGCTACTATCAATAACTTATTCGCTATATAACTGCCAACTGACGCATCTGCTGTGCTTGCCGCTTTTAGGGGTTCCTAATGCGTGCCTGCATTCTGCCTAGTGGATATCCTCTACCTAATCGCAGTATCCCCGAGATGTCGGATTCTGGAAGATCGAAATCTCGGTAAGGCCATTTTCCGGCACTACTGATGCTAACGGAAAACGCGAGCAACTGACTACTTGGATGGGTGCTGGGTACGAAGGCACCTTTAGAGTTGTCTGGGTGCTTTCTGCATGTGGCTTTCATGGCTTTGCGCAGGTGTAGTGATACGCGGACACCTGAATCAGCGGCGTCAACACCCGCAGAGATTGCTGCGCCGCGTCTCAACAGTTATCATCATCAAGTAGAGCCGCTGGAACGCTTGGCTTCGCCCACAACGGATAGCCATGTAACAACCGACGGTGTCTTGTGGCTACCGGCCAGTGCACCGGCCACGCATTCGTTGAGCATTCATCGACAACCCGGAATGCACGGTCTCTGCAGCGCACACAAGCGCAAGCACTATGACAAAATGAGCTGGTGCTTCACAGCGCAGATGCTTGATGCTGTCCACGCCCAACTTCCCAACACTTTATTACGCCCAATTTCACTCAGGTGAGTTGTTCCGTTGTCTTCAGGTATGAAGCGAAACGCACATCTTGCTGCGCCTCTGCTTCAGCCGTGAGTGGTCAGTGACAGTGGCACATTCAGTTTGCATTTCGTGCTGCGTGTTAGTTTCAGCCGCGCTGATCCTGTTCTTTTTTCTGTCATGCTTGTTCGAGTTTCAGGACGGCCCTTTCCGTCATTTCCACTCTTACCACAGAACATATCTTAAAGGTTCAGTCCTGGGAGTACAGGGCGAGATCCCTGGAAGTACTTGCCAACAAGATGCTAAAGCTAAGACACGCAGCGGCAGTGGCGGCAAAACTGTGTCTCTCTGCATTATCGGACGGCCATACAATCGATGTATTTTGGGTAGGTGATTGAGTTTATCTGGTTTTCGCAGAGCGTTTGATCATAGAAGTTGGTGGTACTCGATGTGTCTGTAGGAAATGCTCGAAAAGTGAGGCGTACCTGAGGTACGTCTGTCCCAGGTCGATACAGTGTCTTTCTGGATGCTCTCTTCAGGATGAATGGGAGGTCCACAGAATAGGGGCCATCACTGACTGGGCATTTTCCCGCGATTTCCGTATTCTTCTTTCTCCCCCAAGCTCACAGACAGGTGAGGCTGAGCGGCAAAATCCTCCTTGTCATTAATACGAATGTTGTCCTAGACCTTCGTACCGAGCTGCACCGAGCTAAGTGGCCTGACGAGGACAGGGCTGCTTGAAAACTTAATCTGCAGACTCGAAGGCTAGTGCGTTTCCTCCATATCTTCTGGTGGCTACGACCGACCAAGAGATAGAACGGCGCTCCATCCAGGTAGATTATACTTGCATGCAAAATCTGGGTACTTGTATTTGGCTGTCAAGAAAAGCTCTTGCCTCATTTGGTCTAGTTAATTTATCGAGGCTTAGCTATTCCTTCAGTTACCAAAGCCTGATTATACCCAAAACTGTCGACACAAGTGGAAAATTAGTGTCGAATTTACCAATGCAGGTGTTTCTGCTCTTGCGCCGACTGCATCGGGATCTATCTGCAATCTTGGAGGCGATAAGGGAAACTCCACACGATGTCACTGCTGTGGCGCAAAAGGCATCTGCAATCCTGCATGGAACATCCGTGGAGCCCAACCCTCTTGAAAGTGAGGACAACGCAGGCGAGCCGTCTCACGTTGGCGATTTGAAGACTTTGGGGAAGGAAGCAACACCTCGTGAGTGTACTCACCTGGGGAAGAACATCACAGATCGCTTTCTAGTGGGCTACCGTAGCCTTCCCGGCTGTCCCTGGCTGTAGAAGATCGCATGTTCAGCATGCGATAACCATATATGACTGACCTGTTTGCATTTGCAGAACTCTCTTTGGAGGGTCGTAACATTATCCGCTGCACTGTGGAAACTTCTTCTGGACCTGTGAGCCCTCTCAAAGCACAGTTCATTATGAACAAGGCACCTTGGCAATTTGGTGGCATGCTGGCAGCTCTTTCATCCGAAGCGTGTAATAATTCATGTTGTGGTTTTTGCCCGTGGAAATATATATACTATGTTTGATGAACCTGTGGGTGGGTGGGATGCAGGCTACTCGTTATTGTGTTCAAGATGAAAAGCGCCTCTTACTAGTGACCCCATCTTGCGTCTTTCCTGACGTTGGGGATATCAGGTGTGCCTGTCGTTAATGCAGATTGATCCCTTGCGAGTCAAAACACAAGGCCGGAGTTCATACAGGAACTGCGGCATCGCCTGAATTTGCGTATTGGCTGACTCACGCAGGACTTCGCACCCTCTGCGGAATGTTGAATGCCGCTTGAAAACGAACAGCTCACGCTGCATGCACCTACTGATTTTGGATGTTGTGCCCCCCACCGACGGGCCTTCGCAGTCATCGTCCAGCGACCCGCCAGAGGGGCCTCCCACTATGCGGTATCGCTTACACAGTGGCACTCGTTTCTTCTGTCATTTCTTACGCCATCCACCACAGTTAAGTGATTCTGAAGCTGGGTCTAAGACAGTATGTATTTTGCTCTCGGCGTCTGCATCTGCGCTGCCCTCTGCAGAGTCAGCCTGACAGCTCCTCCTTTAAAGGAAGGTTATCGCATGGAACGTCCAGCACTTTGGGAAATCCGCCTGCACTTTGCCGATGCCTTGCGGTGCAGCACTGTATTTGTGAGTAATGCACCATATGCTTTGCAGAGCTAGAAGGGACTGTGATTCCACTGCACACGCTGCGTGCCCTCACGCTGCGTGCCCTCATCCCACACACATTATGCCCGAATGTTCTGTGTCCTGCGCAGCATGCCCTGCAGCAAGCACGTGGAATAGTCCGCAGAAATTTAGCATCGCGCATTGCTGACTTGCTCGAAGAAGTCTAATTGCCAAACAGAAGGTCTAGGTCTGGTTGTGCCTGACGATTCGCCAGGTCCTGCCTGCTTCACGACAGCGACTTAAGCTCTTACAGACGTAATCTATACATATACTTGTCAATGGCGTCTGATCTACAGACGTCACGAAAGGAACTGTTTTGAATCAATACTAGCTACGCATAGGGCACGAGGCTCCCTTTTTGCTTGAGTAAGCTGTGTCTCGCCAGTAGGCCAAATGCAGTTTGTAACGGCCACTGGCGAAGTGGGCGTCTTTTTACAAGACGATTGAAAGCGGACTAACCATATCAGTGACGCTTTCCCTTGCTACGCTAACGAATATGAAACAGCGTCCAACTCTACTCCTCTAGAACGGAAGGCGTAATCATAATCCCATCTACAGTAGGTGAAACATATATGTGGTGATGCCGGGTAGATGTGTAGTTTGACGCTGCCCCACGGTGCAGAACACCACCGGTGCTGTGGGGCACCCGTGGAAGACAAGGGAAGCCGTCAGTGTCGTAGCCGTCAGTGTCTATGCCGTCGTCTTCGCAGCGGAGAACGTTGCACGACGCATCGCGTATTTCCCGCACGTACCCAATGCCTGAGGTCGAGTGTAGTGCCTGAGTGTCCACGACATTGACGGGCTTTGGAGGTCTTCTTTACATCGTATGTATTACAGTTTAGCAGCTCCGTTACATTTACGCTGCCACTAGATCACATGTTCCTTCGGAAGAGGGGGAATTTTGCTTCTCTTTGTTTCACGTTGCTACATCTCTGCCTAATGCTGTTTTCCCTTCACATTACAACGACGCCGTCCATACGTACCCCTCCCAGGGCTAACCGGTAGTATCCAAATGGACCGTTCCTTCCTACGACACTGCCAGGGGCAGCTAACGTCAACATGTTACCCAAACCCAAGAAATAAAGTACAAAGCAGGTAAAAATCAATGGTGAAGGCGGAAACACTGGAATGAATAATATGCCTCAAAGCGCGTTCAGGCCAAGAGCGCTGAAGCCATTGAAACGACTAAGTTATTGAAATAAGTAAAGCATTGCTTAAATTACGGAAGGCGTGAGTATTCCATTGCCTGAGCCACAACTTTGGCATCTTCTTCTGGGACATCAAGTATTTCGGCCCAAAGGAGCACAACGTCTCTAAAGAGGAAGAAGCGCAGTAAATCAGGAGGAGTACGCAACGGCACAATCAGAAAGCTTTCGTCGGGAAAATGTTGCCAAGGTGTCGTGCCGCTCTCTGGAATTGAGTGGATTTCTTCCGGAGTAGATATCCTTGATATCCTGGATAGGTTGTAAGGCGTACTTTGCTGTCCCCTGCAGTGGCTTATCGCAGACGGAGGTGCTGTGACACTCTCCTGCAGAAGCCTTAGGGCCAGCAAAACTAACAACTGTCGATGACGCAAACGGGAAGAAGGCATGTCACAGTTCCCCATGCAGTGCAGCTTCGACAGCAACACGATGTTTTCCTGGGTATCCTGCAACAAAGGAAAACAACGCATCACTGCGATTCAAATATTATCTCGCTGTAGAGACACCCCGATTTGTTACCGGCCCTTCAGACGAGCAGCTCGCCTCCTCTAGCATATTGAAATATGAAACTTGGAGAGTGGGTAGGCTGCCCCTGTCAAGTAAGAGTCTGCGCTTGTTCAGAATTAAGCCTTCAAAGATGCGTACTAAAACCCAAGCGCTAAGAGCCTTCACCACCGCGTCGTAAATGCCTTCCCTTAACAGCTCTGTTAACAATGGATTCCTTGCTTTCTGTTCTTCCGTCTTGCCTTCCCCTACAGGTGATCTCTCCGTTGCTCGTGGTGAACTGTCAGCTGGAGGTCCACCCCACTTTCGGCATGCTGATACCTCCAGGAGTAAGTCTGGCATTGGCATGTGATAGACGAGTTGATGGGCTGCAAGCTGCAATATCTGCCGCTGATTACGTACAGCTGGGTGTGTGAGCCTGCAGACTCCAAGCACCACAAGCAAAGTGGGGGTGAACTACATCTCCGCTAAGATATCAACCGAATGCCATTCAACGGTGAATCAGCCACAGAATGTTTCATCGCCATCCCTGCGGAAAAGTACATATAATGAAAATCACTTACACATGCAGACACGTGCGCTGCGAAGTCAGTCTAGCCAAGACAGCCAATAGCTCAGCCCTCAGGTCTTGAATAATGCAATACGTAGCAAATGTGTAGGCCTGCAGGACCCAGTCGACCTTGCAGCAGCACTGCGACTCGTAAGGCGGAAGCCCCTTTTGTTGTGGAGCATTATACTGCTCACAACGGTTCCTCCGCTGCTCAACACAACAATGGGGGCAACAGCACGAGGCGGGGATGACGAAGTATCCCGTTTCAAAAAACCTCACAGTTGCCTGCACGACGGAGCCCGCGAAGCTACGCAAGTCGATCACAACCTGTGGCAAACAAATGCAAAGAGAGGGTTGTATAACGTATTTCCGGTGGCGTTTCTGGTCTACTGTACCTTTTCAGCAGAATCCGGGAGCCTCACAGTGCGTTGTGTCATACGCAAGTACACTTCGGACTCGCCTTGTCAGCTCCTCGGGCTTCCCAGTGCGGTCGCGTCAGTTTGGCCTCGAAAAATGAGCAACGCGCCGCCAACAAGGCTCTGTGAGATGAAACCTCAAAGCCATCGGCGCATAGCAGCGTCACATCAGCGAAGTGTGAATGCAGAACTGGCGTTGGAGGGTCTCCTAAACATCCGTCTGTTTCTCTGCACAAGCAAGTATTGCCCCCCGTGAAACCTGAAGCCGACTGGGTTACTGCATCACTTCTTGCCTTATCCCCCAACGCAGCTGCCCGCTGCTCCCTTTTCTTCTCATTCTTCGTCCGTCTCTGAGATGATTCACATGTGCGTTTTTCGCATATTTCACCAGTAGCTGTTTCCGTCAGGCCGAGCAGGCGTTGATCGCTCATTGTTTGTAGACAATTGTGCCCCCAGCTTCCCTGTACCGGTCTTGCTTCAGCAGGCCGACACAAGCGCAACGTATCGACAAGAAAAACGATGTTCACTGCTGGTACAGCCCTTCGACAAGTGCTGTCCTGCGCTCCATTTGTGTATGCACCAGCTGACGTCATGCTGCCAGCCAATGCAGACTCCGTTAGCTGGACCTCAGCGGCAAATTGTTGAGCATCTTCAGGGCTCCCTTCGCCGAGTGGAGTTGTCACACCAGCTTGCGTCTCTCTTTCAGCAGCCGCTGACGAGCTCCCCGCTATAAATGACGCCAGAAATGAAGTAAGCGACATGTTGCTGCGACTTGTTATACGGCCCAAAATGCCGTCGGGCTGCTGTCTAATGATGCGGTTTGCTGCCTCGGCAGGAACGACAATCAGGCCTAGAGGTGAGGGAAAGGCGTCACGCACCTCCAAATGGCGAGCATCTTGACTGATAACGGCAACCAGATCTGCAGTTAGAATTAAACAGTCGCAGTCGATGAAAGTTTAAACACAGGGTTCACTGGTTGTCGACCCAAGCACCTGCTACTGCCCAATAACAACCAAGCAGCAAAAGGCTCCCGGCTTTCTCAAATGTACATTTCTAGACACGTGAGTCGGGCTAGTACTCTGGCTTACTGCGTTTGAAGCACACTGGGGAAACGTTACGTCAGCTCACCTCCGGTGATCAAATCGGAAGCAAAAGGGGGCTGCATAGGCCTTGGCGACCCACTTATCCACCCACCGGTGGGTTGACTCCGGGACTTGGTGCGGGCACGAAAGAGTATTGCAGACCCGAAACTTATAGCTTCTTCACCTGTTTTCGGCCGCCGGACCATGACACCCGGTTGCCATAAAATGTATCCACTGCTTTCTGCACGCTCCGCCCGGGATGCAGCGAGACCAGCTTCCTTAAGAACTCTGGCAGCAGCATTACGCATTGACTGCTCCGTTGTGCGTGATGCCTCCTCTGTGCTCTCCACTGAAAATGCAGGTGAATGTTTCGCATCAAACCAGGCGTTGCGCCTCTCCCCCGCCTGTATTGTAGCCATTATCATGAGTTCTGCAGTACGCGCAGCTGTCACAGCTGCTTTTGCTTCCCGAAGAGCAACTCCACCATCATCTTCGAAGTATGCTCGACACACACTGCTGCTTGGGCTCCCCCTAAATTGGCGACAAACGGATTGAGCTGCATTATGGATTGCGTCATCTGCATTAGAAGCACAACAAGGCCCTCTGAAACACTCACAGCACGTGCAACCCAATTCATGCTTGGTGGAGGCATGTTTGCAAGTCTTCGTGAAATTAAAGCTTACCTCCGAAGCATTCAGCAACCGGGAAAAAGAAACTCGGATCTTCGTCGCACGGGCAAAACCACCAAGCGCTGTGTTTTTCGTCTGCTGCTTCCTCTTGCCCCTTCTTACTGGTTTCCTGCTCTTCAGGAGTTGCGCGGCTCTCACGTGGAGCTGCAGACTGGTTTGGCGGTTGCCTGTTCATAAAGGAATTATTCGTGCTTGGCCAGGATGTTCCTTGACCCGACCTTCCATCTTGGGCTGCAAACAGGCCCACCAAACTGAGCAATGAACCACCGCATTGTGTTGTTTCTGCCATATAGTAAAAATGAGATCCGCCTGCCGGTTCAAAGTAACTCCAATGAATTCAACCAATAGAGCGAGCAGAGGGGAGAGCGAGTTCTTACTCGAATCGCCGGTAGCTTCATCCCCAGATTCCTGTTGTAAAGCGGATGTTCTTGCCTGCGAATTGTCGCTGCTGGGGTGGACAGCATTCTCACTTCTTCGCCTAGTCATGGATTCCGCGGAGGCAGAAGGAACTTCGCTGCAACCGTGTCTGCCAGAGACTGTAGACCTTGGCGGGAGTGTGTCTGCTTCACCAACAGCAGAGCCAAGGCTCGTCCTGTTCATCCGTGAGTCGCCTTCAGTGTGTCTGCCAGAGATAGCCGTGCCAACTGCTATTCCTCGAGGTGGGAAACAATCTGTGGCTGATGAAGGACTTGCCGAAATGTCAGGGCTATGGAGGCCGTTGCGCACTTCTGCGGCACTCTTTGCGACCATAAGAATGCATCCGCAGTTTGGGTGGGCTTGTAGAGACAGGCTGATAACTGCACTCTGGGTAATTCCACGGCCAAAGCGCACCACCATAGCACGAGAAATAGGTCCTTTAGTGTCCAAACAGAAAACCATCCCTAAAAAGAAGTGACAGCACAGCACGGCAGCATCTGGCGTTTTTGTAGGTGCCGACTGCATTGTCCAAAGCCACAGTTTTCCACACTCGGCTAATCTGTGGATAACTAGGAGGGTAAAAAGCCAAATTGATATCCACCAGTCGTACCTCTTTCCTCAACTGGAGAGGGATACTTGCTACGAGCCATTGTGTAGAAGCAACGGCCTTCACCATCGATGCAGCAGTTGTTGACTTCCCAGTTTTCTCCTCGACAAGCGACGAACTCTTGCAGGCGTCCAACTGTACTCAAACTATCTCGGTATTTCTCAGTTGTGTTGCTCAACCAGTTGCGCATGCTTCTCAGATACTTCCACATTTGTGCTTTTGCATCGTCTGAACAAGGTGACACGAGCTCTTGTCCCTCTCCGGCCGCGCTTCCAACCTTCGGTCCGCTGTCCGGATGTTCCGTTAAAATAGCATCTGAATCACTGGATGGAGCTTCCTTGTCATGTCCTATCTCACGGAAAAATTTCCGAACACTAGATATGCTGCGACCAGGAGAACGATACCCTTGACGCTCACTTCTGTCATCCTCCCGCACATGGTTTGACGATGAAACGTATGCGGCGGTTCGTCCAGAAGTGGGTCCCTGGGAAGCACTTACACGGAGTCGATTAGCAGCTGCCAATGCAAGCTCGAGTAAGTCCCCGATCACGGTGACGGTACCTCTTAATGAAACGCGCAATAGGAACTTATGTATGAAAAGGTATAAACATCCGTCGTGTCGATTGCTCAGCAGGAGGCTCTTCTGTCGCAGCCCCTGCAGCTGCCGTTGGTCGTACTGATGTCACACCAACACACAAACGCAAACTTTCTCGTGTGTCAAAAGCTATGCGCATATGCGGCTGAACCATATCAACGACAGGTCTCCACGGCCTTCCGTGGATGTGCCCATCAAAATCCATCAAATACAGACGCTACTTGCGTACCCAGCACACTTTAGGGATTCAACGTGGGTAGATCCATTAAAATATGGATTTTAAATAGGACTCACTTGATTGTTTCCCGTGAATAGCTGAGAAAAGACAGGTTTGTTAGTTCGAAACAGTGCTGAGATGACATCTGCAATACGGACGGGCACAAGTAACTGCCTTTCTTCAAGCTGGTCTTCTTCAGTTGTCACCTTGTAGCCGCAAAATCCTTGTTGCTGCTGCTCTGGAGCAGACAGACGGCCATCGCTGTGGTCCCCACTCCGAACTGCTTCCAATTGAGCACTACCCCTGGTCGGGGGACCGGAGCCGGCATGAAGGCCGCTGCGTCGTGCTTGCGATGTCAAAATACTAGAACTTTGCTTACCCCTGGGCGGCACAAGTCGAGAAATGCAGAAGTATTTGTCCAGCACGTAGAGGAACCCGTCGACATGAGCCACGACAAAATATCGGCTAAACGCCAGCCGTGTGCTACTGCCGTATACCTCAAAGAAGCACGGTTCTCCGGTGCTATCATAGGGGCGAAAGAAACCCATATTCCTGAAATCCCAAGTCAAGCATGCCTCGTGAAAACACGATCATCGCCTCCCCCATAGGGGTGACTACATGGGGCCCTAGGGCCCGTGTGATGATGATGTGGCCCCTCAATCCTTCCAGAAGAATATTCTCTTCAAATTGTCATCTGTACTAATGAAAGAGGACAGGAGAATTGAGGGTCATCTTCGACAAATGTGGAGGAAGGTGCAGGTTCTGTAGTTCCTGCTACACTGCCGGCAGTCGACCGGTCTGCGACAGAGCATGCTCCTACGCGGTTTTACCATAAATTCGCCCCTTATGTTACACCAAAAGCAAGACAGGATTGTTACCAAACTTATTTTTCTGCACTTCTGCCCAACGCGTTCTGTCGGGAAGAGTCTTCATTTGTAGTGCATGACCGCTGGTCTGGGCCCGTGTGGCTTGCTAAAGCGCCATAAATTCCAACCGGTTCTACATTAACATAAACAGGGTGGTTGACACCTTGATTTTACTGTACGGCTGAGCAGTTAATACAGTGGTGCTTTTGTTACAGATCTATATGCTCCTCCTAATGTTGACTACCTAGAGCTTGAACAGTTGAACCGACAGTATAAACTGCCAATCACCCAGAGTTCCCGTATACTTCTACCGCCCCTTTGTCTTCACGATAAAATACTTGGTGCTGATTTGTCTTAGTATTTAAACAATTGGCTTCCATAGTTTTCGAAATTTACCGAGCCGGCAACTCCACCTGCCATATTCCACTGTTTCGCGTTGTGCCCGCATCCAGTGAATTGTCCAGTGATATGATACGATTGCGTCGAGACAACCCTGACAGGTTAATATTAAGCTGAGGTTTGAAATTCCCTTCCTATCCAAATTAGTGGTAGTATTGCAGGTTTTTCCGGCGCCATTGTTGCACCTGGGTTGTGGCAACAGCAGGACTACGACAATGTTGAAGGTATGAACTCAACACCTACACCTTCCCATCATTTCAGAAAAATAATACTCGAGGTGGTCCGAAGTTAACTAAGGTAGATATTCGCCCTCTTTCAACATAAACTTCAAACATCCCGTCCGGACTCACTCAATATTCAGCACACGGGGATAAGTTGAAGTCTCGCGTCGCAGCTTCCAAGCTGCAGGATGTTCAATTTTCAATATATTTGTCAGTATGAGCCCCTTCGGTGCCCACCTCTGATGGCTGCTGCTTCCCGTTTGCCAAATGAACGGGGAAAGGCAAAAAAATCCTTTCCACAAGAGAATACTGACAGAGCAGATGAAGTTCCCCCCGGAACCGCATACTGGACATTTTCAGGCAAGTATTCTCCTTTACGGTGGGTATAAGTATATATTGTGTTCTCTTTCTTTATTAGGTAGCATTGTATTTCCTGAAATTCCACCTTTTACTTCCCTTGTTTCCTCTCAGTTGTTCAACTAGCTATAATGCCGTAGTCCAAAGGGGGACACTGCTATAAACCAAACATAGCAGCTCCAAAAGACAAACTGGCTTGTTTCTCCCTAGAAACCCATAGTGACCACTTAAGAGATCCAGCCGTCGATGGGACGCTGCATTGAGAATTATCAGTCCTTAGAGATTGTTTAAGTTATCGTAACTCTGATATAGCATGTTCCCTTGCGGGTATACGTGAAACGCAAGGCTCGTAATCCTCTTAAAACAAGCATACCTGGCAGGGGAGAGTGGGAGAATGCATTGTTGTCTTATCACCGGATTCACCACGTGGGAGAAAATCAAGCCACTTTAATGAATTTGTTTTGGTATACGAGATGATACTGAACGGGTGCGGCTAGTTTGTTCAGTTTTACCATCTGCCTGCGCATCTTTTCGCGGTTGTCGCCTTGTTGTCTGCACTAAGGCGCTTCATGAATTCCTGTGGAGAAGCGCGGACACACGCCAGCTACCTGTCATAGCAGATCCTTTCCGGAGAGTCACGAAGCTTCGACATGGATGAGGAATAATTGCCCCACGCCTTCTGCAACAGACGAGCTATAACAGGATGTGTTGTGGGAATAGTTGCTGAGTCTATTCACGATAGCATACCAGAAAGCACACTCTCCGAATGAATTAGCTTATTCTTCCAGATCCGTTCGGGTATTGAAAGGTTTCGCAAGAGTTCTGGTCCCAAAGTGTTTCGTTGACTTTGCAGCTGAGGTTCAGAGGACAGGAGGTTTTCCTCTACGCGGCGTGTTGGAAGCCAAACGGAATCACCAATCACTCCAACGTTGTTGCAAGTCCTATGTGACCAGGTAAAGCATGGACACGCATTTTGCAAAAAGTTTCAGGACTACACAAAGACGGAGAGTATCAGCGGACCCACGCTTCCTCTACCAACTTAACAGATTGTTGTCGCTATCACGACGCTCCAGCCTCCCACTGCTGCGTGTAGCGGGAACAAAAAAAGCATTACAGTCTAAGGAGTATGAAGCGTGCGGCATGGTAAGAAAGCGGGAATTATGGCGCATTACTGAATCTACAAAACAGCATGCTTGTAACGCGGGGCCCTGGAGTATAAACGAGAAACATTGTGAGCTAGCTTGAGATACTCAAGCTGACAACTCCTTAAATGCAGGTGACATATTTCACCACTCTCTAGGCTTCCACATATGAGCAGCCTAATTGCCTGAAGCTGCCGAAGAGCAATCAGCCTGCTAAGAGCTTTTACTTCACTTGGTGCAACCAAAGGTGCAGGACATCCCGGTACGAAAACACACACAACATTCTTTGCTATATGTATAAACACTACAGAGCATTGTTGAAGGCGTCTGCTTGCCGTTGTGTTCCCGAGCACCGTATCAATTATTCAATACTGTTTTCGTGCCTGCCGCATACTACGGCAGAGTAACGCGCGAGTAACGGCTCACGGGCCAACAAGACAGACGTGCCACTATCGGACAGCATGCAGGTAGCAAGATGGAGCCGAATATCCTATTGACCCGTTTAGTCAAAGTCGCCAATTGTGAACAGAAAAGAGCCCAAAACAAGAGTTAATAGCAAACAAAGGAGTGGCAGCCTCGTCTCCGCAACTTGCTCGACAAGGACGGCATCAGAACAGCAACAATGAGGCTAGACAGGGTGTAGTGAACAGCTAAGCTACCCTGTCACTACGTATGTCTCTTCAGTATGCCTAACTTGGTGCACACTACACTACTGTAGTCTATTCTCCATTCACTATTAACAGACGCTCCGTTTAATAAAATATTAATTTCCAAAACATATATGAGTCCATATTATTACGGGAAAACCCAGAATAATAGAACTGACTGTTGACCCTCCCAAGGGTCAGTGCCAGAGTCACAGCACCAACCTCGCATCCAGTCCCATGGCCGGTGTAGGCTAGCGAGCACTCTGATCCTATTAGGTTTTCCTTTTCCCTAAAAGTGCCTTAAATCCTTAAATATTCTATTTTATTTAAGCCTTTTCGAGTTACCAGGCCCCGAGGACTCACCTCGAAGGTCCATTGTAGTGCCTGTGCACTACACAGGGCCCGCGCGTGGCTGGTGTGCCGCAGCTGGAGTCCACTAAAAGGCGAGCCACTGATGGGAATAATTTGATGTATTGAACTTCTAGGCATATGTTCACGGAAAGTAGGAAAAAAGCGTAGAGTTCCAGAATACGTTAGAGTTTTTGTCCCGTATTTCTCAGTCCCGACGACCGGTACCAGAACCAAGTAACTCCGTTTGGGAATCAACCGGTGGGCTTGACCTTTGAACAAATAGCGTGAAAATGGGCAAATAATCCAACTTCACCTCAGAGGGGAGTTGGATTAGCGGCCTTCACACAACCGTCCGTGGTGTCGAGGGAACAATGTTTCTACGAACAGAGGTGCGGGAGCGCCTTCTCCCCCTTCCCTCTTTTGATATCGGTGAGGGCGTACGCAATGTAAGAAACAAGGCTGAATACAGTTTCACAGGGTGCAAGCCCGTTCAAGGATTCTCCCGTGGAATGTTCACATCCACTCCACGTCGTCGATCTCATGACGACCCGATCACTTCGCATCTGCTAGCCAATGATCTCCCTAAACATCACTCCTTTAAAGGTCGGCGAGCCTTCAGTTGTAAACGATCAACTTTCTCCTGACAAATGAAACTTAGATTTCTCCGAGTCCACGAACACCTCGCATTGGCTCCCAGATACATCTCCTCAGAAATGCGGTAGTGCCCACACCGCACCATACTATCAAAGTCTGCTGCCTCACCAGCCTCTTGCCACCGTGGCGTCCTTAGACCCTAGTCAATCGTGTTAGCGGGCTCTCCCGCACGTTCTTTGCCCCTTCCGCAGATATCGTGTTCTGCTCGCTGTACCTCCGACTCTGTCCCTAGTGGACTCTACATCAGGCTGCACCCCTGTCCTCTGTGGGGCCTCCTCATAGCCAGCAGCCTCTGCCTGCTCTCACGCTCCAGCGTCTTTCCCCATATCCGGGAAACTGGAATGTCATGAAGTTCTAGCGCCACTCAGCACAGAACCCCTGCATACTCATTTGCATAACTTACGTCGTGTACTCTCTATTAACGGACTCCCCGCCGTTGCCTTCTCCACTCTCCATTTCGCTAGTTCGCTGGCCGGCTCACGCAGCCTCCGCTGCCTTCTGTTCAACCGGTGGTCGGCAGATACTATCCTTGTGGTAAACTTGTACCGTGGCTCTTCGGTTGTGCTGCGGCTGATTCTTATTATACATTCCACTATAGAGAAGGGGTAACTGGGTTGGGACAGCTCCCAAGTGTTGTGTGGAGCCTACCAAAGCTGTGTCTGCTTATGGGCTCATAGCGCGTAGCTCCCTAACTACATCCTATGACTACCCAATTACTCCGAGGTTAATACTTAAAATTCCAAATCATTTTCGTGTCTGTACTATAAACAAGGGAAGTTTCCAGGAATAAAATAACTGTGTTCTGAATCGACCCAGGTCATGGCTGGGTGTCAGTGCCCAACCTATAGGATGACGGGGGGGTATCCACAGGGACGAGACAGTCAGGAGCCTGACCTATAACTGCCGTCTCCCAAAGTTGTATTTATATACATAATACTCCTATATAGTAATAATTCTATGTCTTATCCAATTCGATCTTTAAAGGAGCCTACCTGGTACCCAAGCAGTGACTAGGTAGTACGCCACACTGCAGATAGTGGCCGCCGGCTGGGGTAATCCTATTAACCTGTGGCTCCACCTACGGTACTCGACTCTTAAAACATTTAGCAGTATTAATTCCATTTCTTAGTTGCTAATGTCGTAATCCTTCTCTTTATGGTCACTGAGCTACTAGAGATCACACCAGAGCCACATTGTAGTGCCAGTACACTACAGTGCCTGCTGAGCTCTACACAACTTGTTTCTCATCCGTTTCCTAGTGTCCACACAGAGCTAATCTGAGGGCCTTGGGGTTGCTCCTTCTCTTCTTGGCCCCGCCAAAGGGGGGCCTACCAGTAGGTGGCTCTGCGAACAGCAGCCCCGTTTTTCCTGTCGAGGCTAGCATTTACCGATTTCTTTCCTTTCTTCCGCGAACTTAGAGGATGATAAAGGAAAATCGTTTACTTGGGTTGCGGCCGCAGCAGCTACGGCACGTGCTATTTGCTGCTGCGGCGCTGCTGCGACTCTTCCTTTTGGCCTATGGAGAGTGGCAAGACTCTCACTGTAAGATGGCAGCACCACAGCAAATGGCCCATCCTATCGCTAAAACATGCTGGCTAACATGCCAATGCAAGCTGTATGGTGTGAGGCTAATGATCTGGGGTTTACTTAGTGTTTGTTATTTCAGTGGCTGTGAAGTTTACTGACATCGATTACAAGGTGTACACCGACGCTGCTGGTCACGTCTTGAAGGGCGGTTCGCCGTATGAGCGGCACACCTACAGATATTCCCCGCTTGTGTACGTGCAAATCAGAACAGCCACAGCAATAGCTCCAGAAACAGCAGCATCAGAAGCTCCAGCCGCAGCAATGTGGGATTGTAGTCAGTTTGATCCGCTGCAGGGCATACATTTGCCTGCCCAACTTGCTGGGCTGTCCTTTTTTCGGAAAGCTGTTGTTTTGCTGCGTTGATATCGCCGTAGCATTGCTTATTGAGGTGAGGCCATGCTGTACTAGTACTATGTTGCATTGACTGTCGAGCTTTTGTGGGTTGGACTCTGTGGTTGAAAATTGGATAGAGGCGCCGGGTCAGGTGCCAACTGTGAACTCACGTGTTGCTACATCTTGTATCGGCACTAACAATGGACATATTCAAGTTTATGATTTATGTCTCAATTTATCTCATGTTGTCTCTACCTGTAGCAGGGGCTCTGGATGATATACAGGGAAGGCCAGCAGCAACAGCAACAACAACAGCAACAACAGCAGCAGCAGAAGCCAATCTGTGGGAGGGAATGCGGGGACCCTGGAAGGGCTGCAAACGGCAGCAGCAACGTTTGCCCCCTCAACAGTATAAGGAGAACAGGAAGCATGGGCAGCAAAGGAGAGTACCCCTTGCATACGTTTTTGCTTCCGTGCTTCTGCTGGCTGTTTCACCCGGTTGTGGCTACCGTCAGCGCACGGGGTAATGCTGACTCTCTCCCATGTCTCCTCGTGCTGCTGACAGTGGTTGCTGTTAGGGCCCAAAGGCTTCTTCTTTCTGCAGTCCTGTAAGCTGCCCCGCAGGTGCTGCTGCGGTCGCTTGGCAGCTAGTGTTGCTGTTGACGTTTCGTCCGTTTTGACGCCGCGGTTGTGGTGGTGTTTCTACACCCATTACTATCACTCATGCTTCTGGTGCTACTACCGCTGCTGTGAGAGCGAGGGGTCTCCGTGCTGCTTCGCAACTGTGTGTCCGACACTCGCTTATCTGCTATTGTCTCTTCAGGTACGGGTTGGCTGTGCACCTGAAGGTGTATCCTGTCATCTACGGCGTGCCCATTCTCCTTTTCATGCAACAGGGAGCCCTGGTGAGGCTGCCGCTACTTCCACGCTTTTCGAGGTTGTTGCTGCTGCTTTCGCATTTTTCGGGAGTGTTGCTGCTGCGCCTGCTCCCTCACTGAGGTGCAGTAGCGGATTGGTGGATACTGGAGCAGATCCAAAGTGTGCATATGGGCTGTAAGGCACTTGCTGTTGTCCTTTTACAGCCTGAGAGCATCACAACGCTGCCGCAACGCCCAAAGGGGTTGTGGCAGACGTTACTGTGGGGTGTTGTTAGAGCTCCCCTTGCCGCGTTGTTGTTGCCGTTCCGAGTGTGCTGCTTCTTACTGCGGAGGATGGGGCGAAGGCAGTGGGCCTTCGGTCTCCTTTCCGTTGCAGCCTGCTGTGCCCTGGGCTATATCTTTTACTGCGTGTGAGTCTCTCCAGCGAGCAGACACGTGAAGAAGCGTGCACCTTCATCTGCAGGTGGCAGATCGCCTCACGTACTACCTTCTCTTTATCTACAGACTGCATGCACACGTGAAGCATATTGCTTCCTTACGTGGTCGTTCGTAGCCTCCGGCGCTGCGTTCCGCTGCAGTCATGTGTTTTGTTGGCTGACAGCTTTATTGGCGCCGAAACTAAAGGTTGCATGGACGTGCCGCTGACAAGCAGGACCTCAGGCCTGTCCCGTGCCAACAGGTGCTGCTGCAACTGATGTACCCGCTGAGCTGCGAATTTTCAACTATGGCGGCTACAAGTAGATCAAATGTGCCGTTTGTTGGTTAGAACACTTCTGTAGGTGGCAGGATGGTGCAATGATTCCCTATATATTGGCAGATCGGCCCTGCGGTGCGCTGAGCTCTTCCAGGTACGGATTCCCGTTTGTCTTCGAGTCTTACCTATATCACGCTACCCGCAGTGATCACCGACACAACATGTCTCCCTACTTTTATCTACTGTACTTGGACTCTGTGGCGCCCGTTAAGGTGAGTAGTACCTGCCTCGGAGCGCGTCGTAGCAGCAAAGCGGGCTAGTTGGGGCATGCTGATAGCTGCAGTTTCTGCTAGTATCTGCTGCTCTTGCTGCCGCACGGGCCTTGCTGACGGGAATGGCCGTGAAAAATTCAACACAATTGTTTGAGTGCGTGTGAGTGGTTTATTGCGTTCTCCACTGGTGTGCAAATACTATCCTCTTTGTATTTCGCTGCTGGCTCAATCGTGTATTTGCTTTTCGAGTACAGTAGTTGGCTTCTTATTCGTATGCGGTTGTCGGTGGTTTCTACAACGGTTTGTGCCAGAAAGCTTTCTCCATTTTGCTCGCTGCTCCATCACAGTCCCGCTTGAATGTGCGTTTCTCTGTGTTCCCACAAGTTCCTGGGTCCTCAATCGGCCACTCTTTGCGGGTGGGTGTTGCAGCAGCCGCAGCAGCAACTCAAGTGCAACAAAACCAGAAGCTTTGTGTATATGTATCTCGGTGCTTTCTCCGTCCGTAGGGTCTGTCAGTGGCGCTGTTGTTGCCTCAGTTGGTTTGCGCCCTCCTCCTCGGCTGTTTTTTTGCGAAGCCTAACTTGGAGGCCGGTTTATTTTTGGAGGTGATTCACTTAAATCTTTTGACGGCAGTGCATAAGACCGAATTGTATGTGTACGCAACGTGTTTCGTATTCGAACCTTTTTGCATATATTGGGATGCATAGCACAAACATTTCCTGTAGGGATGCGGCCTCGGGGTGACTCTTGCAGCGGCCTCAGCTGGCTTAGCTAGATCCCGCCATGCTTTCCTTTTGCTGCCTGGTGTGACAGTAGTGCAGGGCAGCACTGTATTGCAACAGCACTGTGATGTGACGGCAACAGGCGTAGCAGTACGACTGTCCAGGTAGATGCGCACAATGGTGTTATGCCTGGGGGGGAAAGGAACATTAGGTGCTCTCTTTCTTCTGAGTCTGAAAATCCAGGGTTGAGGATCGCTGTGGGGCTGTGCTTGTGCTTTACAGACTGTGGCCTTTGTGGCGCTCAACAAAGTTTGCACCACGCAGGTAGGCCCAAATGTCGCGTGAAGGCATTGGCGAAAACCTCTCTCACCGTCTTGATTCGTCCGTGAAACCCTTGGGGCGCTCACACGTTCGTTAGAGATGGCCAGGTGGTCTCAATTTCATGACGGCTTGGCGGTCTGTGGAATTGCCGACTGTTTATTATCGGGGGGGTTTGTGTGCAGTACTTTCTGTGGTGGCTTTGCCTGATGCCGTTTGCCGTGGGGGCCACTGACATGAAAAAGGTAAAAAATCCTGCCCGTTTGCTGCTTCGTGCCCTCATTGGTGCCGCTGTCTTGTAGCAGCATTTGTACTCTAAAACAAGTGTGGACAGCCAGCAAGGCCAGCTGACGCTTTAGCTAGGGCGGTAATTTCGGACGGGATGCCCGGAAGCAGGTCTATGAAGGGTTCCGTTGTAGCGACCAAAGGTTTTTCGTTTTTTTGGCTTTTGCAGAACACCCTGTTGCAGACGGGGTTGGTGATGGCGGTGTTTCAAGTGGCCTGTTTGGTCTGGTTGTTTTTTGGCTATCAGCTGGAGTTCGAGGGGAAGCCTGTTTTCCTGGAGGTATGGGAGCCGTTTGATTTGTAAATGGACAGTTTGCTTGCTCAGGGAATGTGCCCCTCACGCCATCTCTAGCGGCCAGTACGCTCGAAACGGTTGTTGGGCTTGACAGGCCTTCTCACAGTATACTTCCCACGTTGGTTATCGTTCCGTGCTAACAAAAACATCGTTGCCCAGCCTGTCGTCATTATTCCCCTATAGTGAACACATGCGTGGGTACCTTGGGCCCCCCATTGTACACATAGTCGAGGGGGTTGATGTGAAGGGCCTGCTTGCCAGCGGCGCAGTCCCTTTCGGGTGTAGAAGGAAGCCTTTGACTGTATTCTCCTTCTACACATTTTTTTGTGTCGCCGGCCAATGGCGTTAGTCAGGAGTGTATGAGTTATATCCGACTGTACATGTTGCGTCATTTGCCATTTGTTTCTGTCGCGTTTTTTCGTTGCATGCCTAACGTGAAACTTGCAGGAGGTGCTCCATTTCTCTGTGCCTTCAGCTCTCGTTTGCGTCTGCGGCATTTGCCAGTAGCCAGATGGGCCTAGTTGCGTTCTTCTCGCACAAAATTCGCTCCCAAAACGGAATGGTTAGAACAAAGCGAATCCAACTCGCGGCAGATGGTGAAGTGCTCGAGAGGAAAAGGGTCTGATCAGTAGGGCTCTGCCTTCTTTCGTTCACCACGCTGGTCTTCCCGCGTGTCGCCTTTTAGCTAGTGCCCATTGTCACGCTTTCATTCCGCCTCTGCTTCTGTGGCCGCCGTCCGTTCTGCTCTCCTGTTTTCCTGACGAGGGATTGTCTCCTAACCCTTATCAAAGGGCGTGTGTGTGCACGGCTTTGAGCAGCCTCCCTGCTTCTTTATCTCGCTCTTCTTGAGCGTTTGCGAACCTGTGTGGTATGCGCTACTTGCCGGCTCAAGTGGAGCTATGGTTCGATGGCCGCATCTTATTATCGGCATGAATCTTGCTTTACCTCAGCTTTCGCGCTAGACTGCAAACTGAGACACGAAAATCAGCGGCTAACCACCTCTATGCATTGATACCCTTTCCCTTTGTGCATTGCATCGGGGAGACTCTGCAGCAACATGACAACGGTTAGGAGCTCTTTTGACTGTTTGAAGTCCCAGGAATTCCGACAGGCCCCACCTAAATCTACGTAGTGTATTTTTACGTGCAGTGTCACCGTGCAGGGGAGCAATTGATGCAATAATGCTTTCGTTTTGGAGGACTTAGGTAGAACGTACACGCATAAGCCTGCGGAGACACGGGCATTCATCAGATCTCCAGATTGTCCCCATTTACTGTGCCAACTCTATCTTAACGTTTGAAAATGTAATGGTGAATTGTTCGTTGTACTTGTTGGTAGACGCATTGCCATTTCCGTCACTGCTTTGGGAATCCTACCAACCCCCGACCACTCCACATGCCTGGTAGAAGTTCCATGACCAGATACTTCCATTCATAACTGCCCAGATGTATAATTATTGTGAACGCCCCTCTAGAGGATATGGTGACCATTGGCACTTGGCGGGATGCTTCGAAAACCGTCAGGACTCCTTGGTAGTCTCACGATTTCCACTGTTTGCTTTCCTACTTCTTGATTACGATAACAAGTGACTGCGACGTTTGGTTATGAAGAACGCCTTCCCTTGATAAATAGGCCTAGAGATGCAAGCTACAGTGGGTTGGTTCAATTCCAAGCATCCCTACGCCCGTCGGCCCATACCCATACGCAACGCACCATCATTCCTACTTCTTGTTTTAAGCAACGCTGCTCGTCTACACAGCATGATGTAGCAGCAGCAAAGTCGAACAATGAACACAACTAGTAGTGCTCTGCATTGCTCAAGAGGCGCTGCTCCATACTGGTGTCAGCCCTTCACTAGGAGATGCTGGTACTTCTACGCGTAGAATCGTGGATGATGCTTTCATCAGGTACAAGCTATCTAACCTGGTGTGCTTCTGCAAGCGAGTCGGCAAGATAACCCCGCGGCTCCTCAGGTGTTCAATGAAGAACAGACAATTCAAACGTAGTGTTCCTAACTTCATAACCTAAAAATTGCTTGGAGGGGAAACCATGTTGGCATCTAGGTTGCTGTGACAAGATCGAACTCGCCAGCATGACGTGGCCGTGACCATGCTTTGGGGGCGGCTTTGCGCAACAGAAAAGTGAACCCCTAAAAGAATGGCAACGGAAGAACCCTCTGTTGTTCAAAATGCACCAATCACTGGGTACATCAGACGGTCCTACTCACCTTTGCGAAAACACAAATTGGAAGATGACAAAACAGATTGTTGCGGGAGTGCCGGTGAGTGTAAATGGCACAATAAGACTGCTAAGAGCAGACAATGGGTCGCTCAAACTCCTTTCACCATCTCGCTCGAGATAACTTATCGCGAAGAATTCCAAGCTTCCTTTGCTCCTTTTTAGTCTTGAAGCGTATTGATTTCATCGCCAGAATCGGTAGAGTTGTTCTTATTGCAGGCGCTGTGAAGGCTGTAGGTGGGGCGGATCCGCTGCATCAGCGAGGAGTCGGGCACTAAAGTCTCGGCGGCCTGCTTTGCACTTAGGCGGGACTGGTTCTGGGAAGTGCACACAAGCACACCTATGCGAGAATTATCAGTACCTAAATACTGAAAAGCTAACCAGTATGCATTTCGTATACAGTATTAGGCCTTCCTTCCCTTTCTACGTTAAGTGCCTGCTCAGAGGCATGGAAAACATCTACAACTGTCCATTATCCACAGATTTCATGATGCTCAATTGGTATTCACTATTAAGCCAGCTGTTTAATTTATGTGCTCCCGTATGCACGGCTTTTGCCTAACAATACCTCTCTTGAGAGAGTCGCGCTGCCAAGGATACGGGAATTCATTTCCAGAGTCTCGCGGTATTTGTTTTGGTCTCGTTCCATAACGCTCTTCGGTTGTTCTATTGGATCTCCTGAAACGCACGAACACAGCACAGGGCCGCTCTGCTTAAATGCATGGGACCCCGTAAGATGCTCACAGTACGTGACGTCTCCACCAACGTATGAGGTGATTACATCTATCGTTTTTCAGAGGCTGAGTCCAGGGATACACGTATTACGGACCCGTTGCTGTTCTGTACTTTCTCAAGAGCTTGGACTCTCTAGCGCTGACGATATTGTCAAGCATTTGCCTCGTTGGCCTGACTGCTTTCGCCCAGCTGAATGACAACGAGACTGCGTTTCCGGTTGTGTGTAGTGACCGTATAACCATTCTTAAAGGCCTAGCAGACAGCACAAACAAACAAATAGCAGCCACCAATTTTCAGCGGCAGAAATAGGAATGGCGGCGTCTGCACAGCGGTTTGGTGGAACAATTCAAGGAGAACACAAGGGTGCCACATTACTATGCACGAACCTGAGATGCCGCAAGCTGTAAACGCCAGGTTCCAATGTGAACTCTCCCCTTAAGCGTTCTAATTCGCACGATATGGCTTTTTCTGTGGGTGTTTCCTGTGGTTTTGGTTGGTCTGGTGGCTTCTTAAAGAAGAAAGACTGAACGGCTACACGCTCTTCTGCAGCGGAGACAGGGGCTGCAGGCTTCTTCGAATAAAGGACCTCCAAGACAGAGTAGCCATGAATGATCCTGGATTCGAACAGGACCTGCGTTTATCCACAAACACAAGCGATTAGTACAGGGAAACTGGTTGCACGTGTAATTCATGGAATTCATCTTATGACGCTCAGGTAAAGATGCCTTCATGCCGCTATCCTCACCAGTACATCGGAACTCACCAGTACGTCTGTTCCTGTGACTCCTATGTCTATTACAGCGTCGCCCTTCCACAGAGAGTGGAAAACACGAGTCGGTTTACAAATAGCTTTCACCCTGTCCGTCCTAATGTTAGGTAAAGTTTGTTTGCTCTGTTGTGGTTGCTGCACTTTGAAACCCGCGAACTTCAGAAATGGGTTTGCAACAGCTCTCTGTTCCGCTGCAGCTGATGCACTTTTGCCTTCTGCTGCAGCCGCGGAAGGCCTTGAAGCCTTCTGGGAGGGTTCTACGACACTAAGTGCTCCCCACGTGTACAGAAAAGGCGATGACTGCTGCAGAGATACTACAACAAACCGTGCCCCAAGTGCAACCTTCGAGACTACGTGACGGTGACCTGGAGTTGGTGGAATAGGCACAAAAGTTGGGAGGTCTCTTGACTTTTTGTCTTCGATTCCTTGGCCGAGTTGGCCACTGTCGTTGCACCCCCATGCAAAAACGCCACTGCTGCCTGCTGTCCTCATCACGTTGAATCCAGCAGAACAACAGATCTGAATAAACAACACGAAGCACAGCTAGCAACGGACAGCATCGGATCTGGAAAATGCGGTGGAACTAACAAGGCGCAGAACGGGACATTCTAGAAGCTAAGTGCACTTGCCTGTAGTGCCTCCTCCGTCGAATCAACGGGCACCTCTCTCGGAGTGTAAGAATGCGAATCCGGGATTATCGTGGGCAGACGAACGAAGTGGGCAGCACCCCACATCAAGGCTTTTCCGTCAGAACATACCGCTCCTGTTTGTCGGGGTCCCGCAGCGATGCTACGCGGCGCAAGCGAGCAGCGGAGGAAAGAAGGGGGATGTGCACTAAAGTCGACTTCGTGTGTGCCATAAATAGTTTGTAAAACTGCATATTGTGCTGGCGTTTCACGGTACGTGCACAATATAAGACCATGGAAGCTCACCTTCTCAGTCTGATGCCATTGTTACGGATTGTAGGAATCAGAGTTGGGTGCCGAACGCACATTAGCCTGTGGCCCAAGCCGCATTGTCCTTCTGAGTTGTCCCCCCAAGCAAAAGCCATGCCCTCACTAGTGAGAGCGACCGAGTGGTCTAGGCCTGCTACTACTGCGCATATTTTGTGCGTATAATCAACCTCCTGGACAAGTTGCTGCACGAGATGGCCTGAAAACGTCTCAGCATCAGTCACCCTTTCCAGATGGTTAGCTGGCAGTCTGCTTCAAAGTGCTTGGCAATTCTCGAAGGCAACCATTCCCGAGGCCTACCGGTTTTCAAGTCCACTGTATCTTTAAAAACTCGGTCTACAAACTTCAGGGGGCCCACGCAAGTCATCCCCTGTTCTCGTGGAACTTGCCGTTCCCCAAGTTGTCCTCGGTCCCCCCAACCCCATGCGTATACGCTCGGGACGAGGTTAAAATCCTGCCAACTTCCACCCTTGACGACTGCCCTGACGCGGGTAGCGAAGTTTTCAAAGGCCGGTCGTCTCACCGAGAGAAGTACCAAACTGTGATGGCCGCCGATTGCCAGATCTTGAAACTGAAGGTAAAAACGCACCTATAGAGAAATTTTCATCGCGGCTAGGCCACTGAACAACGGCTCCAGTTCCCTAAGTATGACACTCCCGTTAGTGTTGCGACGTGTTGTCTTGTTATCCATACTAGCATGGGTAGTATACGCATTTGGGGTCAACAAACTGACCATAACTGGCACCGTTTGCGTAGCCTCCGCCATGTAGCCGTTCGCCTGCTGACTTGTGGCCGTGGCTAATTGCACTAAGAGGTCCTGAAGTGGCTGTGCCCACGTGCGAGGATAGATACCACGGCAATCGCAATTTGCATTCAAGCTGATTGGGTACGCATAGTGAGTCTCCTGGCGCATTCGTTCGACCCTGAACACACCTTGAACCCTAAGTAGGTGAGGGCGCAGCAGCTCAAAAGCAACACGCTCGCGCCGTTTGATGACAGAGTCGGCTTTCTGCGTCGCATGCACCAGAATATACACGAGGCCCTAGGACACTATACATAACGTTAAGGGCTAAACAGCATCTCCTATGCACTAGACGATGGCTGCATGACAATGCCGTCATGCTAACATTTGTACTGTACCAGCCGCGACAAATGCAAAAGTGGTTAAATTTGCCATTGCCGTGCTCCACTAGGGTGGTAGCTCCTCCTAACCTTTGGCATCTGGATGGGGAGAGGCAGCGCCAGATCTACATCCAATTCTCGTAGTAAAAGCATCGAACGCCACCAGCGCTGGATTTTCACGACCATGCACCTGGCTAGAAGGAAGTCTCCCTGCCAGCAGCATTACGCATCCCCCGCAACAAAACTCATGATGGCATTCCAGATGGAAACATATAGGCTCTCGCTCATGCAAACATGTTTTGAATGCTGCTAAAGCAGTCTTATTAATTGAGACTGGCGCACTCTCAAAGTAGGGAGGGAGGGCAGTGGACGTCTTACCCTGCGAAGCCTCATCAGAGCTCCAGCTTGGCAGAGCAATGCTGCATTCTTTAAGCGTACATATTGCTGCCGGATAATGGCCATCCTGAAAAAGCTTTGAATACGAACAACTGAAGTATTCATTTGTACCCTGAACAGATGAGGTTTACGACAGCGCACAACCAGGTAACCTTTCAAATCAAATGCGCAAAACGATGCCCACATGCCCGGGATCATGCATCTATGCTAAGGCATGCTAGCTATTCACTATGCGGCAAACCAGAAAACATATGCAGGGATGCTCTCCGATGAGTGCTCTCCGGGTGAGATCAACTGTGAATGCCATACGAAATCATTTCCCTCATCACTGTCGTCCGTCGTATGATTGGGCGGTAGTTCAGCATGACACGCATGCTGTAGAGCTTGGCCCCCTTCCGCTGGATAGACAAGAATGCCATAGTCAGACCTCTAAGTTCCTGGAACTTGCGGCGTTCCCTCCACCTGCATAACCAGCTCACGAGTCGTGCCCAATCGCTTGTCTCGGCCGTTGCCCACAATGCTTCTGACTATTGTTCCATTCATCCACCTTTTCCGTGCACTCTCCCTGTTTTGCTTACCCTCTGAAATGCCGCTGTATAGTTGTAGCTGCCCTGTTGGGGATTACCACCTCGGTGATTTTTTCTAGAATGACAACTTGGGCTTTGTAAGACCTCCACGCATTCTGCATTCACATGCCAGGATATGCGTGGTGTTGACCACACCCTAGAAAAATCCCCATTTGAATGCTTCCAGCGTAGGATCGCCCTCCCCAAACGCCAAAAGGAAGCAACGTTGAAGGCATTGTCGATTCATTACCTGTACAAGGAGGGAACAGTACTCTAAGAACGCCTCGTGCCGTAGCTTTGCCGCCTGCTTCTGTGCCATGATCGAACGCCACCAAGATTGAATGCACACAGCTGCGCTCCACCGCAGACAGTAAACTTCCCTGTTCCTATACCTGAGTTGCAGATCCACCACATATCATTCGCATAACACTATATCTCACCTACCATCCCACACAAGCTCTAGGGAGTGTCGGGAGGATACAGAAGACATAATCGCGAACCCATTCACCAAGCGCAATGCCCGAGAAGTGTTGCACTGCTGTTGAATATATAGGGGAGCCCACTTCATTTCGATGGAGTGGACAACCTCGTCGCTAAGACCTAATCGCCGAAAGGAATACGCGATACCCGCGGTAATGACGGCCCCAAAGAAAAGATCCTTGAGAGGCTGGAGTTTCTTTCGCTCACGTATCAGGAGCACGCGACGTACATGGCTCTGCACTCGGATGCACAGCCAGTGCATATCGGCCACGAAGGCGCGTTCCCGTACAGTTCGCCAGATGCGCTGCACGCGGGTAACCGCGGGCACGAGACGTTCAAGGTAGTCGATTCTCCTGCAAAGCGCAAAATCCGACACTGTTTGGCCTCTGGAGTAGCGAAACGTAAAATGGAGAGATGGAAGGCAGTTTAACCGGGTCCCTGAGGTTGTCGTCTGTCGCAAATCCACGATAGCCTTGCCAGATATTAGGAATTCGTGGAAAGCGTATCCTGCTGCAATGTGAGTTACTATTCAGTTGCAATACGCACAACAACGCATTGTGGTTCCCCACTTACGTCTTTTCTAGAATTATAAATGCAGCTTTGCGGAAGAACACAGTTGTCCTCCCCAACTGATACCCGGTGTCAGGAAACCTAAGGGCCTGAAGAGAAGTGTGATGAAGATTGGAACTGGTCCAGGATCAAACGCCAGAGGTGGGAAGGCTTGCGGGCCACCAACGACCTAAGGCTATACTGTTTTTGACCGGTTCTACAAACAAACCTGGAGCAAAAAAGCACTTGCTGCTTTGGGATCTGGATGTTTTAATAACAGCTTGGTCGTTTGCTGCTCGTACGAAGTTGGGATGCAAAGCACGGCGTAGAGTTCAAGGAACTCTTTATAAAGTAGTCGAACTGTCATGCCAAGGTAACGCGTTCTGCAATAGGTCTGCCATGAGTCCAAAATCACACTCCAAAGCCACAAAGTTTCCCCGCACAAATATTGCACGTCCGCTCTCGCTCTGTAGAATCTATTCCATTACAATGAAGAGGCCAACCAATGACTTACCAACACCTGCAAGTCATGTAGCTGCTTCCACACGTGAACTGAATTGAATCCTAGCAAGTAGCCATTGCCGCTCCGCCCCAACTTAGCTTCACTGGCCATTAGGGCCTTTAGGCGGGGAGGCACTTGAGGCTCATGACACAACGTGCCAGCCATCAAAGCATACGCATCTTGTTGAAATCGAGCATGCGCATGTTGTTCGCTCTGGCTGTTTTGCCGCCAGCGCTTAATGTAGGAACTGAGCTTTGACGAGGACGATTCCTCCCCAGCGGCGTCGCCAGCCGAAAATGGCCGGAGGGCGCTGACGCACGCAATAAAATTGGTCTGTGGAGCCTCCTGAACACACGGGCAGAATATTCGTGTATTGTGATGACTGTGTGTAACCAGGATTCCAACCGCTGTCAGCGCAACCAATACGGAGCAGGGTCTCGATGCTATGCCCAATTAGTAAAGAACGACATATTCAGTGTGCACAAGGGAAGAAAACTGTTCGCTCGACTTGAGGGTCGAAACTTGCCGATCCTCCAGACAGCGTGTCCTTAGTGTACTGAATAAACCGGTTGGTTACGCTAATACGAAGGCAGTCGGGGGGAAAGACGTCGTGAACCGTCTCATGCTCGACAAGTGAGCGCAGTAGACCCAGTTTGCTTTGCAGCAGCAGTGTCCGGAGTCCTGAGAATGGCATTTCATGTTGCGCATCAATTTCGGTATAGAAAGCTAGCTATACTTGTATAACCATTTTTTCAAACGGATGACCACCGGGAAACAAACGTTTTTTGCTGCAAAGTGTAAATGAAACAAAGGAAAACAAGGCAATTAATACATACGAAAACAGCATATGACGTGTGAATTGTAGCGTCTGAGAACGATTGCACTTCACTCCTAATTGACTTGTCTTTTACGGCAGCCACACTTGCTGCATGCTGGGCCTACTAGGAGCGACTGTATAGGCGTTTGCATCGCTGGTACAGAATTTTGTAGCGTCGTAGACAAGCGTGCCGGAGGTATGCACCACGGTGAACTGGCAAAGAACTGAGAAAAGAAGGCATACGTTTGCGTAGATGCATATTCCCCCCGTGCAGAGCCGAAGACGCTTGCAGGCATATATATCTAATCGGCAGACTAAACAACCTGAAGAGGACCGCCTCTAGGAGACACAGCTCCGTGCCTGCACGTCCACGAGAAATTTAAGAGCGTACTTGGGTCCAAACCGGATCCTGGTCCCTTTTTTGCTGCAGAGCCGCCGCCCACTACTGCTCCTTTGCCCGCATGGCCAGTGGCTTTCACAACCCTCACGGCCATCTTAGGCCTCAAAATTTCAGGTGGTGGGGGCTTGTACCCTGGCACTTTCTGCAGAACGCTCAGCAACAATAGTAGGCCTGAGATCCAACGCAGTTTGGCTCGCCGTTTCGACATGGATTCCTAGAGCTAAGGGTCTTACTCTTATTTTGTCCGTTTTGCCTTTACTCCTGAGGATCCGATTCACGAATGAAATGGCAGCCAACGGTACTCCGCCGGACAAGTCATCAGCTGCTTCTCCACCCCTTGTTGTGTGTTCGTGCTTCAGTACTTGCCATACACCTTCGGGGCCCGTGAAAACCTCGAGGATTTCGTCGTTCAGGGTAAAGTTCGCTGGGGGCGGCTTTACATCCTCGAGTAGATAAGTTGCTTGATCTGTACCAGCACGCATACCAGCGTTTTACATTGCTATCTCCCGCTTAAGTGTCATGACGAGTTGGTCAGACAGTCGGTAAGGCACCTCAGATGATATCATCCCATAAGAGCTAGTTGTCGTGTGTTGTGTATGACTAGTGCCCTGTGCATGAGAAACAAACCAACGAGAGTTCATCTAAGAAAGCAACAGTGTGTGTTAGGAGCTGACCAAGAGTGAACGCCCAAGTTGCAAATATGTGAAGTAAACACTCTTCCGTGTAGTTGTGCAGCAGCTGGTTAAAGGCCCAGTCCGGGCTCACACGTCGAAGGTCTAACCCTGCTGCCTTCAGCAGCGTTAAACGGCTGCAGCGTACCCACAACTCCAACTCCACAATCACAGCCTTCGACCCTTTATCCACTGCAGGCTGTCCGTCACGCAAAATACCGTCCTTACGCCAAGCCTTATGTGAGCCCCACAGGTGTACTGACACCGCCTAAAATGTGCAGAGCCTGTGACATTATTTCTGGCTGCAGCAGAATACTTGTAGGCCTGCAGTGGAACAGTTCGATGAATACAGTGGGGTTTATCTCGCCCTATCTGTCCGATTATTACTTTGTGCTCACTTGTGAACTTCCGCATTCTTGGTCAATTGCAGACTTTGACGGATGATTCCCAGAAGCCACCAACGCAGACGCACAAAAAGCTTTAGTGCCAAGTGCCGCACTTGCCAGGCGTCTGTTCCCAAGTAGATGTCTCGCATGACCGTCTCGTCAACACCTAGGAGACTTGCCAACTGATATGGAACAACAGAGTGCGGCATAGGGTAGAGAAAACTCAACGCTTGTGCAAAAAGTTACAGACTGTTTACCAACTCATAGTTTCAGGGGACTCGCCCTTGCACTCTAGTGCAGTTGCTCCAGGAGCAACTAACCAGCTTGTTAATTTGAAGTGACCACTGACCAGATTGATAATGTCGAGACCCGCCAAAGTCATCGCCGACTTCTTGCCTACCATGAGAGTACGCTCAACCGTATGTCCGCTTTGCTTTGTTATTCGCCTCACTCTCGGAGCTGCGGGCACCGAAGGCTCCTCCTCCTTTTCTTCTTCAACCTCCTCTTTGGGAAGTTCGTTCTGTATCTTGAAGCTCGTGACGTCTGCAAGTCAAAATGTGTGGAGGGCAATATGCAAGCACAAAAGCCCTCTCAATCCTTGGGAAACAGACTCATTCGAAGAAAAACCCACTCAACTGCCCAATTTCCCACCCAGTGCACTGGAAGGAAGAATTGATGGAACAGGAGACGGTTGTGGTTCTACCTGCTACAAGAATGGCGCTAAGCAGCAACAAAAACTCAGCCTTTTCGGTGTCAGAGAGGCCGATGGTGGACAGGTCGGCGAGGATTTGCTGACACTTCTCGTAGTGCACGTCTTCAAAGAGAACAAAAGGGGGGGGGAAGTAATGCATCAAAGCCTTAACATCGACGGGGTGAAGGCCAGCGTTCTTCAGCTGCGGGTCAGCAGCGTTATAGTGAATGCCATACATAAGATGGTAAAATATGTTGGGCAAGGGGAGCGAACCGACAGACTGGCGCATCTGCCATGAGATAATGTCTCTGAAGCGCACAGTCCACGAGTTACGCAGCAGCCTTAAACCTTCAGCATTTCATAAACACAGAACAGCACGAACACAGAAGCACTATGCCAGCACTATGCCAAGCACACTGCGCAACGTGCGCAGTGGTCCACTACGCGTACTGGCTGGGCTCATAAGACGAGTTGGGCAGGAAGCTGAAGCCCACAACGTCTCCTTGGGAGTCTAGCTCTACTTGAAAAAGGTCCATAAGTCGCCCCCCAAAAAGTGTGCCCTTGTTCGTAATGTGCAGGGACTCCAAAAGCGAGACTGCAGCGTCTCTCTTGGCTTCAGTGGCGAGCGCCTGTTCATCGGTCTGCACAGTAAAGCGATGACTCCACAAAGCTAGTAAGCTCTTATTACACTATATAGCACTGGTAACGGCAGTAACCGGTTAACACTTCAATACAAGGGTAGGGAGGAACGAATTTGCTTCCTGGTGAAAGTTGAAGGAGGCAAGCCTCCGCATGCCTACCCACGTGTCCTCCATAATTAAGGCAAAACGAATGAAAAGCTTCACTAGCTCGTGGTGAACTCGGTCTTGTCCTGATCCGAAGGCTCCGAAGGTGAGTACAAGCTGGTTTGTGTGCTGCTTTCTTGCGTTAATAAATGCCCGGCGAGCCACCAAGTAGGGATGTGACGGCAGCTCCGCTACGTGAGATGTCCAGTAGTGCACGGCTTTGCTACGGTTAAAGATGTCGTCGCTCGCCGAGTCGTGTGAGTCCCAAGGGTTCACAAATATCAGCATGTTGTCACAAGAAGTAAAGTATTTGCCACGGTTGAACCGTTGCTGCAAACAATCAATAATCGCCGTGTCGTCGCAAGATGGCAGATACATTAAGCTATCTATCGCCTCTTCTGGATGTTTTGCTCTGCAGAAGCGGCACACAAAGACAGCAGCAAACAGCGAAAAGCAGCTCCTTTACTGACTGTCCCATGTTTCAAACGGTTTACATGCAAGAACCATTCTTCAGCTTGCTTGAAGGGTTTAGTTGTGACTTCGAACAGTGAGTGCCAAGCGATTCACTTAGGCCCCCCTTGTATTACATCTGCTTAGGCTAATTTCGTGTGCAGCAGACTATCAGCCTTATAATTATTTCTTAGACGCTAAACCCTTGGGCTTACTGTTCTCCGAGTTGGGCCTCTGCTGGTATTACGCTGTGTCTGCTGAGGTGCATCAAGTTGGGGAGCTCGTTCTGCACTATACGGGCAGCTCGGGCCCCTCCCCTGCTGCCACCGAATTGGAATGGCTGCACTCGCTGCAAAAGAGGCTTGCCTAGGAGTGAGGGGTCTATCACTTGCATGGTAACCAGCCCCCTGAAGTCGGGTGTCTTTCCCTTGGTGGCCTCTTTGTCTCTAATGAACACTTTTGATCCCGAAAGCAACAACGTATCAGGTGCCGAGGCAGCTCCGCGGAATCCCTGGTCGTCCATGCCGTACACATCCAACTTGTGTAGAGACTCATCTTCAGAATCCTTATCACCGCCATGTCTGCTCATTCCTCGTAGCCGGCCCCCTGCAAACACAGGCATACGCAGACCGGACAAAATCAGCATTTTGGCAGCCTGCTATCTGATTGGTAATATAATAATCGTGTATTTATGTGTTTACATAGCTGCTGCGCAGAGCAGCTTGTCTACGAGGTTTTGGAAGCTTGCTCTCAAAGGGCGAGCAATTCCATGGTAACTGCATACTAAGTGGGTGCCCAGAAAAAGGGGACTGACAGTACCTCTCTGGGAGACACCTCGTCCAAGCTGCCGTTTGAAGAGCAGACTCTTCTTCGCTGTGGGGCCTAAGGTCGTGGCCGGAGCAGCAGCAAAAGCTGGACCAGTTGAAGCGAGCTGGCGCGAACCCAATGAAGGCGATCGCGTTTTTCCTTCGGCTACCCCTGGCGACTGCTTTTTGCCTAGTATAAATAAAGCAGCTGGGTCATCTGCTAAATGGGAGGAAGAAGGAGATAAGTCTTCGAACCTCCCGGGCAAACGGGATGTTGCTACTTCTACTGTTGCCATTTCAGGCGCAGAAACGCCAAGGGTCTGTGGAGAGCCCCCCTCATCTCCTCTCCTTGGAGTCCTCGAACTACTTTGAGATGAGATGGATAACTTGCTATGCAAGGTATCCTTTCTGAGATTTGCATCTTTATTGTGCCCCAACCCGTCGGCTGCTGCCGAGTCCGAGCGCCCGGAGGCGCGGTCGTCGGCCATACGGGCCAGAGGCTAGTGCGTCTTTAAATATTTTTAACAGGAATTTGCATTTAAGCATTCAAAAAGGCAAAATAAAACGAATCCACATCAGGAAAAAACCAGTGCCGCCGACATCAGCCTCCAAACCCAACAACCAGCAACAAGACAAACATGTGCGATTGACTGGAAGGGGGCCCATTTATCAGAGGGGCGAAAATGCAGAAGAAGCACAGATAACAAACTCCAGTAAATTAATATCCCAGTTCAAAACACTTAGGAGGCAGCGGGGGGACGATGTGCTAGGTTCTTACGCGCCTTTGTGCATGCTTAACCGGGCAGGAGAGCGCGCAGGCCTTGTTGCGCATGGCATCGAGTCTGCTGGCGACTTAGAAAAACTGGTGATGGAGGAGTAACTAGATTCAGTGATAATTATCTAAATTGTAATACTGCCTGCTGTTTCCTTAGGTATCTTCACTTTCATTATGTGCTAGTAGCAAAATGTGGGACTGCAAGCCACCAGCCTCCGTAACCACTGCTTGACCAGCAGCAGCTGCTGCGGCCTCAATAACATAACGACGCTCCTGGCCTCATGAACGACCAGCGCACGAGTGTCCGCATGGTGCTTCGTTTGCCTCTAACTGACAAATTTAGTTCACTTTCAAAATTTCAGCTAATTTTAAAAATGTTTTGGAGACAAGGGATCCAACATAATGCCTGTAAGTTTTCTTGAGGCCAGTCGCGTCAGTCAGTTGCAACGGAACTTACTCTTTGAAAGACATCTGTTACAATTAAGACATATTCTTGTTGTTAACAATTTGTCCTTCACAGTTACTCCACGTTCTCCTGTCAATGATAGTTCGTCAGAACGCCAATTGCATGTGACATGGTTCCCGTGTGGGCAGTGTTCACTCTTGGCTCTTGCAACGAAGGATCTCGATCATAAACGAGGGTCATCCTGAGATTAGTCAAGTCAATATGTTTAACAGAAGAGACTATAAAAAGCAGCAACCACTGTCCCAGTCCCCCGGGGCCATGCACACGGCGGCTGCCTTGCCTGGGGTTAACTGTGTGTAACAGCAGGCTTGCAATCTGTTGCAGTGCACATACATGTACATCCTCGTGCAAAGGAACCCCCATGTAGGCACACTACAGCGTTCTTTTATGCTACAATCAATGCTGTGGACACCTGTTAAACAGTCAAGACTGACACAGCCAGGAGGAGCCAAGGTTAAACCTAGCTAGATCTGCGACTGCTTCGTCCTCCCCTCTGTGCATCACACTGTTACGATTGCCTGGCTAACTAACAAGGGATAGGAGATTGGACAGAAGGAAATGAAGGGGCAGTACTCACCAGAAAAACCACCCATGCTGAGTCAAGGGAAAATTGCATATAAGAGAAAGAGCAGCCTTCCTCGATATTGCTTATTTATGCAGTCCCTGGTGTTGACGTCCTGCCGCTGCAGCATCCTTGGATTGCCACAGTTGTTGCGTTAACTGGTCCTGTCTGTGTCTTCTTCGTGTAAAGGTAAACGTACAGCTCAATATCAGACTCCACCCCAGGACAGCTTATCCTTGAATGGGCATCAGATACTGTACACTAGGAAACGCAGAGGGACTTTTCTAGCGAATACTCATATGCCACCGACAGCAAACAAATAAAATGATGTGGAAACAAGAATGGGGAAATGGGGAATGAGATATACTCGAAATCTGCGCCGTCTGCAAAATGTACACCTTAGATTTCACAAGAATAAACACTTTCCGAAATATATAATGCCAGAACATTGCGCCTGCTCTGTCTTAGATTCGTATGTGTGTCTCTTTTTGTGTGCAGGTTCGCTACTGAGGACAGAGTAAGTGGTGACCGGTTTATCTAGTGTATTAGTTAACGGACACAGCGAATATAATCTGAATTGCCAAACGAGCTGTAAATAAAAAGATTACATCCCTTCTCGAGTTTATTATCTCAACAAATAAGAAATTGAAGTATACTTCTATCTCATGCTGTCGTAACAGACCAGCCAGCTTTCTTAGAACAGCGAGGGACGAAAAGACGACGAAGTTATAGAGATGCGTTGAACTAACCCTCGATGATAATTATCAGCTTATTGAGTCCCACATGCATTAGACCAATCACCAACCTGAAGATGCCACCGTAGAAGGAACAGGGCCGCTAAAACACGAAGCCTACAACGGCCCTTTGCTAAGGTCGAGTTCTTGTTACTGTTTCTGCAGATCCTTCTATAGCGGCAGCACATAAGGCATACAAATGAACCGCTGCCAGTTTACACACACATAAAGACACACACACACACACACACACACACACACACACACACACGAACATGCACGAACACACGCACACACACGAATACAGACACAGACAGACAGACAAACAGACAGAAAGACAGACAGACAGACAGACAGACAGACAGACAGACAGACAGACAGACAGACAGACAGACAGACAGACAGACAGACACACACACACACACACACACACACACACACACACACACACATGCGCTTGCATGCACACACAAGCGCACACACACGCATCCATCCATCCATCCATCCATATGCATACACACATGTATGCATACAGACACGCACACACACACCCGCTACTAGTGTTCCGGTTTAGCTATTCATTAAGCCAGTAAGTTTCCAACTTCGGTTCTCTAGGAACAGCTTCGAGTTGTTTATCTCGAGTTTTTTATCTCGAATTTATAGCCTTGTCGTAGTGTCGGCACAAAGAACACCATGTGTTGATACTTGCAGGCTGAAATGCATTACTCGCTAGTTTGGGCACAAATTTTAAGTGTATAAAACAAACACTTTCTCAAAAACATAGCCGCAAACAAGTCTGAGAATAAGGTCTTGCATCGGGACTCGTGCTGAACTGCGGTTGGCTGCATATGCACTGCAGCCCTACCCGCCTTCCTCGCAGGTGGACACCGGATAAAAATAAAAACATATATATTCATATAGGACATACCCTAGATAAAACAATAAAGACACAAAAGAAATCGGATAATCCAGCATGCAGATGACATGGCTTCTACGTCGGCAGCAGCAGTACCACCAGGAGCGAAAGCAGTTGCAGCTGCAGCAGCTGCAGCGGTAGCAACCTGATGAACAGTCGGCAGGAGCCCGACTGTCTGCTTCCTTTGTCTTGCAGACCGCACTTGTCTTTTGTCTCTTTCTCAACTCTTTGCTTAAAGAAAGTCATTGGGCAGCAACTCTGTGGCGGAGGAACAGCAGCAAGAGCAGCATCACCATCAGCAGGTCCGGCAGCGCAGCAGCCCACCAGCAGGTCCAGCAGCAGCTGCTACAGCAAAGTCTCGGTCACCAGCAAGACACATATTAAGGGTGGAGTCGTTTTTGCCTTCTCTTTACTTTCTTTACGGAAACATTCTTCTCTGCAACTGACACATCTAAGCAAGATGTCCTCCTCGTCTGTCAGCAGCAGGCTCTTGGGTGTCTTTGCGCCACCTGTGGGAAGATACTTCCAGCTGCTCACGCATAAGGCACCTTTCCCTGCAGCAGCAACACCAACAGCGGCAGCAGCAAGTTCAGCAGCAACATCAGCAGTTTGGGGGAGTCCTGCATGGGAGGCACGGGGGCCTGCCTTCCCCCATTCTCTGCGGCATTTCTTCTCAGCAGGTTCAAGAGATAGGCCAGATGTCCCACCGACCTCAACAAACACACCTCCCACAAACAGCAACAGCAGCAACACTAGCAGCAGCAGCAGTGAGAAGACGCCGCCGCGGAGAGCCACTGGGCTGCACAAGCTCTGCAACTTGGGAGCCCCCCTTGCCGAGTTTATGGGTAGGCCGCAGGCATCTCGAGTAGAAGTGACAAAGTTTATTTGGTCTTATATAAAAGAAAAAGGTTTACAAAAGAAAGATAATAAGAGAATTGTTGTTGCGGACGAGCGGCTGCTGCCGCTGCTGCAGCAGCGTGAGCTCTCCATGTTCACACTCAACAAAGTTCTTAGTCAACACATCCATAACACAGATACCCCAGATAAACAGCAGCAGCAACAGCAGCAGCAGCAGCAGCAGCAGCGGGGACTTGGGGGAGCGGGTTCAGAACCGTAGTCGCCACCTGCCCAACAGAACCCGTCGTGTTTGAGCACCAGGCAGCAGCAGCAGCATCTGTAGCAGCAGCGCAACTACCGCTGCAGCAGTGCTGCCGTTTCTGCCTGGAACATGCCGCTGAAGGTGTTGTCAATGGGTCTATCCTCCCAGACACCGCCGCAGCAGCAGCACCTTGTGCAGCAGCAGCAGTTAGTTGCTGCTGCAGCAGTTCCTGTCAGGCAGGACTGTGCATAAGTGAACATTCGTTGTTTTTGCTCGTTGCAGTACCAGCAGAAGCAAATGGAAGTGGAGTTCAGAGTTAGCACCTGCTGCTCTTGTTGCTCGCCTTCAACTAGGTTTTTGTTGTCACTAGACCAAAGAATGTTCTGAGCGACACTCCTGCTGGGGTCTGTTCAGTTTCTCCGATGTATGTGTTATCTAGTGTACAGTAGCACCAACAGCCACGAGCAGCAGCAGCACCAGCAGTTGGAGCAGCAGATAGACGGCTGCCCGCGTGTGTGATCCCTCTGCACTGTTCGCTGCTGTTTTCTCCTGCTGTAGCGGTGCGTTGCCGTTGCTGGGTCACCGCTGCTGTTCAGGCTGCCGTTGCTTGTCTGTAGTGCATGCACTATACTGCTCTTTTTCGTTGCTGCCATTGCTGTTGTTTTGTTGTTGTTGCTGGTGTTGCTGCTCTGTATTGCTGCTACTTCCTCGCTGCTGCTGCTGCTCTTAAGCATACCCTCCTCTCGTGGTCCTCTCTACTACTGCTTCCAGACAAGAATGAGAAGTGTACGTACACCCCATTAAGAGTGTGACTCCCTCGGGAGAAAAATTCTCGGCAGCAGCGACAGCACCAGCTGCTGCAGCTACTGCTGCGGATGCCGTTCGTGCAGCAGCTACTGATCAAGCACTGGTGACCTGGGCAGCATCTGCGGCTACAGCAGCTACAGCATCAGCAAGAGGGAGGTCGCCGCCGCCGCCGTAGCAGCAACAGCAACCCATACATCCTCGCTGAGCTGAAACCTGCTGCAGCAGCCACTGCTAGCCAACGCTGCTGCTTCTGTTGTTGTTGCTGTTGTTGCTGCGTTTTGCCTTTCACGCTAAAAGAATATAACCACCACGCTCTGTGCCCTGCAGCCAGCTGCTCCTGCTGCAGCAGTACCTGCAGCTGCAACAGCAGCTGCGAGGCTGGTGAGGGTCTTATAGCCCCGTGCAGAGAAGCAAATCCACATCCCACCGTGGATACTGCTGCATCACGTACTGCTGCTGCCAATGCAGCTAAAGCAATAGCTGCAGCAACAGCAGCAGCGAGGGCATGCAGCTTGTTATAGCAGCAGTAGGGCGAGGGACAGTAAGCAGTGCTGCTGCTGCTGCTGCTACCGCCACGCAGCTCCAATCACTGATGGCGAGCAAGCAGCAAATCGATTGCCCTATTTATATTTCCTGAAAAAACAGTAGCAGCAGCAGGAAAACAGCGCAGCAATGCATCAGCAACGTAGCAGCAATAACAGCAACTGCTGCAAACATGGCAGGTGCAACAGCTGCTGCTGCACGAACGTACCTCCTGTTTGCTGCAGCGCCCACAAACACTCTGCCTGGTTGGAAAAACCCATGGCATTCAAGGAAGCTAGTTGGTGTGCATACTGCTGCTGCTGCTGCTGCTGGGGTTGTTGCTGCTGCTGTTGCTGAGGCTGCTGCTGCTGTTGGTGCTGCACACCAGATGTTGCTGATGGCTCGAGGCTCCCCACGCTCAGCCTGCAGCAGTTCCAACAAAAACACCCCAGCGCAGTGCAAATACAACACCAGCAGAGCAACAAGAAGCAGCAGGAGGGCAGCAACAGGAGGAGCAGCAAGGCACACCTAGTAAAATCTCGAACAATTCCCCCGGGGCCGCCGAAGCTCCATGCAGGGGGAGGGACCCCTAAAGCACCTGAAGCAACTGCAGCAGCAGCAGCAGCTGCTGCTCCTCCGGGTGCAGCAGTTGCTGCCCCCGATGCAGCAGTTGCTGCTCCCTGTGCAGCAGTTGCTGCTGCAGGTGCAGTAGCAGCTGCTCCTGCATCTGAAGGTGCCTCTATGCCTGAACCACTAGGAGCCTGAACCGCCAGCAGGCACACCAACCAACTTATGCAACAGCTAAACTTACGCAGCAACAGCAGTTGCAGCGCGTTGCAGCAGCAGCAGCATATGCTGCTGCTGCTGCAACGCGTGTCACAGCAAAAGCAACTGTACCACCAATTCAGATGGCAATATACAGAAAAAGAAGCAATGTTCTCTGCAGCCCGAACTGCTGCTGCGGCGGCAGCAGTATGCTACAGTTGCCTCTAACCTGCTGTGACGCGAGTGCGCCAGCTGTCGTTGTCGTCGTCGTCTGCTGCTGTTGCTGTTCTTGTTGTTGCTGTTGCTGCTGCAGTTGGCGCTGCTGTTGCAGGAGGAACTGCCGTTGTATTTGCTGCTGCCGCAGCACCTGCTGCTGGCGTTGCTGCTGCCGCCTTCTGGCCTCGAGATACGTGTTCAATTCATGAGGACTCTGCTGTTGCTGCTGCTGCAGATTTTGCTGCGGCTGCCGTGGCGCTGCAGCAAGCGCAGGCACAAACGTGCATATCCTGTCCAAGTGCAGCGGCCGCAGCTCTCAAGAGCAGCAGCAGCAGCACAAAAGCTTCTAAAGCAGCAAAACAGTCAGCAACAATAACGGCGACAAAAGCAACACCAGCAGCAAACCTAGCAGCAACAGCAGCAGTAGCACAAGCTAACCCCAAGGGTTGGGTAATGCCTCCTTAGAGGGCCCTGTGTCTCTGCGTGGTTGATTTGCTGCTTGTCCTCCTTGGCTGTTTCTCTCTTCTCCTGTGCCGCTGCCCCGTAGCTCAGCAGCAATTTGAATTGCTGCTTCATGCATCGGCTCCTGCACCCCCCGGTATACACGGGTCAAGGCGTTAAATCCCTGCAGCAGCAGCAACAGCAGCAGCAGTTGCAGTACATGGGTAAGAAGAGCAACAGCGAAAACAAAAGAAAAAGCCACAGTAACAGGAACAGCACGAAGAAGAAGCAGCAGCAGCAGCAGACACCCACAGCAACAAAAACTTCGCAAGCATCAGCAACAATAGAAGCTGCAGCAACAGCCGCAGCAGCATCACAAAAGCCATCGCAGCAGCCAATGCAACAACAGCAGCAACAGCAGCAACAGCAGCAGTAGCAGGTACCCCTGGAATAGCTTCTATGTTGGCGAGGGCCCTGTCTGTATTTCTTATCATCTCCCTCAATAAGGAAGGATTCCTCATGGCATCCATGCCCATACGAAACAGCTGCAGCAAATAAACCCTAAACCCTAAACCCTAAACCCTAAACCCTACTTCTTCCTTAGAGTAGTAAGAGAGTCCCCCCTGCCTTATGCCCAACTATTTCAGCGCAATCTTGTTACCTAGGATTTGCCAATTAGGGTCTGTAGCTGACAGCTACCTGTCTAGGGTTTAGGGTTTAGAACATTATTTTAGGGTTTAGGGTTTAGGGTTTAGGGTTTTAGGGTTTAGGGTTTTGCCTGTGGGTCTGAAAGTAGGCTATTAATTTCAGGGTTTTGTTCCCTTAATGCCTGCAGCAAAGGACTTGATTGCAGCAAGCTGCTCATCAGGTCGCTCTCCATTAGCTGCTGCAGCTGAGGGGATCTAGCTAGCTGCTCCATTAGCTGCTCTTGAGGGGAAGTAGCAGCAGCAGCTGCTCCTGCTGCACCGTTGCTGCCCCCAGGGATCCCAGCTGCAGCAAAAACAAGCAAACACACACGAACAACCTTTGCTAGTTCTGCTGCTGCTGCAGCTGATGCTGTTCCTACAGCTGTTGCTACAGGTGCTGCTTGTGCTCCAGCATGTGCTGCCGGTGTTGCAGCTGCTGCTGCAGCACCTGCTGTTGCTGCCGCTGAGACACGAGCAGCAACGAGCAGCAGAGGCTACAGCAGCACAGCAGCAGCAACTGACTTGTCCTCCTATCCACATTTCGCACAACGTGCACCATTGGTCCATTGCTGCTAATACCCAAAGCATCCAACACTTCTTCATCCTGCAGCAGCAGCAGCAAATATAGCAGCAGCAGCAAATACAGCAGCAAGTGTAGTTCCCTTGGTCGCTGCAGAAGCGGCAGCAGCGCACGACTGGTGCTAATGCTGCTGCTACTGTTGCTGCTGCAGCAGAAACGGTAGGCGCGGGTGAAATAAACGTTGCGAATCGATGCTGCTGCTGCTGTTGCTGCTGGCCCTGCCCTGCTGCAGCAGCACCGGCAGCAGCAACAACAGCAGCAAAAAAGAGCCTCACCCTCATTACGTGTCCTCTAATGACGAGACGCTGCTCCCCAGGAGGATACCGTAACTGTGGGGCCAATGCTTCCTTCAGCTGCAGCACATTCCAATCTGCAGCAGCAGCAACAGCAGCAGAAGCAACAGCAGCACAGCAGCAAAGGTAATGCGCTCGTCGGGTCTTTATGGAGGAAGAAAAGGACTACAGACAGCCTCTCCCTTGTAGAAGCACCAGCAACAAGAAAACAGCAACAGCAGCAGCAGCAGAAGCAGGTGTTGTGTCAACAGCAACGCCAGCAGCAGCAGCAGCAGCAGCAGCAGCAGCAGCAGCAGCAGCAGCAGCAGACCAGGAAAAGCAGTAACTCTGAGTTGCTGTCGGTCAAGTGTCTGCACAGTCAACGTAAAGGAATCATCCCCATCATCTTCCTCGTCATCCTGCTTCGCCCGAGCAGCACCAATGCCCTTGCTGCTGCTGCTGCTGCTGCTACTACTGGAGCTGCTGCTGTTGCTTCCGCTGCTGCTAAAGGAGCTAGAGCCGGCTTCAGGGGCCGCCAAGGACTGTGACTTCTCCACCGGCTTCTGCTGCTGCTGCTGCTCCTGGGCCTCACTGGACTGCTGTTGGCCCGTCTGCTGCTGCTGCTGCTCCCCCTCCTCCTGCTGTTGCTGTTGCTGCTGCGGCTCCTGCTGTTGCTGCTCTGGTTGTTTTGCAGGTGCCTTCTGGTCTTCCTCCCCCATCTTTCTTAAGTCGTCTTTGCTGCTGTTTCTCCACTCATGCGGGTGCCGCCGCTGCTGCTGCTGCGGCTCCCAGAAGAATGATGCAGATTCCTGCAGGTGCTGCTGCGGCTACTGCTGCTGTTGACGGGGGCGTATTCAAGGCCCACTGCAGCACCTGCTGCTGCTCCTTCAAAGGAGCGCTCCGCAGGAGCTCAAGCGACGCCACACTCAAAATGCCTGCTGTTGTTGCTGTTGTTGTTGTTGCCGCTGCTGTCGTTGCCGCCGCAGCGGCTCTGCTGCTGCTGCTGCCGGCTGCTGCTGCCTGTAGACAAGCAACTTCTGGGTAGAGGGAAAGTATGTGAAGGAGGACTAAGGGGCGC